CATGCTTCTGACAGCTTCTCCATTTGATTTTGTATATGAGCATGTACTTGATGCCTGTGAGATGTGTGTCACCGGAACTGAAAGGATGTTTAGAAGCAACTGAATCAGTGGGATGCTGGAATATGTCAATTGACAAACCCAAAATTGAACTTGAGGTGTACCCAGACACAGCTGGGCAATAAATTCACCCTGCTGCCAGGCTGCTGATGTTGCTAAAACATATAGCCAGACAATATACAAGCCTGCCCTCCCTCTCCTTCTCTTGCTCATCACCGAATATACAAGCAAAACCAATAACATCTTGTAACTTGTGTGTCCCTTTTTCATACTAACTTAATCCTTATTGCTTATCTGTGATTACCGTCTTAGCAATGGAATCACTAGGCCCACCAGTGTGCCTGTTTACTACTGGAAGGTGTTTTGAACCTAAAATCATTACATTCTCCTTGTATTTGTTTGCCTTTTGCACTCTTAGTGTAGTTAACTATTTTACTGTGTTAAGTATACATCTTGTTAGGGATGTGCTTTGCCTTAAAGCTGCTTTACTAGTGAAATATTAATAAACTACTGAGATTTTTCAAGATTTAACGTCCAATGAGCTTGATGGCTGATCAAAAAGATTTAGGGTCCATTAAGTCCGATCATTTCAGCATAAAGGCATTTTAAGAAGGAAGTACTCATGTAGCAGTAATGAACAGTGTCACTTTCAAATCAGCCGTCATGCCAGTACATACACAAAACTGTCTTAGTATGGCAAAAATGCAATGTCTGATAGCCCTGGAATACATCTAGGAAAATCTGATACTGGAGAATGGGAGTGATTATTAAATACATATGTTAAGTTACTAAGTGAAATAGTTTTTTGTGATTTTTTTTTATTTTTATCTAGGACAGTCTAAAGTCTCACAAGTTCTAGTATGCAAAGCAGGAATATCCTGGCAAACAAGTCATAGAATCATAGAATGGTTGGGTTGGAAGGGACCATAAAGCCCATCTCATTCCAGCCCCCTGCCATGGTCTGGGACACCTTCCACTATCCCAGGTTGCTCCAAGCCCCATCCAGCCTGGCCTTGGACACTTCCAGGGATGGGGCACCCACAGCTTCTCTGGGCAACCTGTGCCAGGGCCTCACCAACCTCACAAGGAAGAATTTGTCAATAGTCTCTCTCCATCTTCCTTGCAGGCTCCCTTCAGGCACTGCAAGGCCACAATTAGGTCACCCCAAAGCTTCTCTTTTCCAGGCTGAACAATCCCAATTCTCTCAGCCTTTCCTTGCAGGAGAGGTGCTCCATCCTTCTGCTCAACGTGGTGGCCCATTCCTCTGTTTTCATTGGTATCCCCTGGTATCAAATCTCACGGGTCTGATTTCATAGGCATTCGTGCAGGGGAGTGAAAGTGGAATGTGTGGCTGCACGTAGGCTGCTGTTTGCAAACTCAGACACAGAGAGAACACCAGGGCTGTCAGCAGAGCTGCAGTGCTGTGCTTACAGCATTGTTCAGGACTGTGCTCAGCATCTGAAGCAGTCCTTTGGGCACAAAGATAGCGAGTGCAAGTTAAGGCAAACATTCTTCCCTACTCCAGTTACTTCTGTACAAATTGTGAATAAATGTCAAATCTAGGAAATGCAGATTTATGATTATTACCACCGTTATGAAGAGTGACTAGAAAGAAAATAAAAAATACAGCGACCTTCATACCAAATTGCATTCCAACAAATAAAGCAGATGAGAAAACTGGGTTACAGATAGTATTAACAACTGGAAATGTTCTATTTGCAACAGACGCATAATGGATTACGTGTCTTATGGAGACGGAAATTATGGTCCTAATTCTGCAGCTTTTAATTACATGAATAGTATTCACACATGTAATTTCTCGCCAGACTGAGTAGCGATGCCTTATAATATGAGGAGTGATTTGGAGCACTCCCTCTAGGACCCAGAATTCAAATGTGTATTTATAACTCAAGTTACACCTGCAATTAGCATATTAGATTAAGTTGCTAAGGGAGTATCATGTTTGGTGTCTCTGGTAGTCCTCACTTATCAGTCACTTTATACAGTATAAATAGTTAAATATTTTCTTTTGTCTTTTCTCGTTGCCCTCTTTCTTGTTTTTTCTCCCCAAGGTTTATGCTATTTATGTGTAGATTCTTCTGGATCATACAAAGAAATTGCCCTTGAATTTTCTTTCCCTAAGACAGTTATGGATGGCTGTAAGATCTGATGTTTAATGTTCTTACAAAAAAACCCCATGATTTTTAAAGTCTATGTAATTCCTTAGTGCTGTGACACATCAATGAGTTCAACTGTATATGTTCTTTGAACATTTGTGTGTTAGAGACAGACCTGAGTGTAGACTCCAGTGATAATTTAAAGCACAGGGAAAAATTATCAAAATAACAGACCATATTTATATTATGATTGTGACTTCCTTTTCTGTACAGTTGAATTAGAACTAGCTTTGAGAGGATTTGTTTGTTTGATTGATTTGGTGGAGATGTTATTATTAAGTACATGATAAATAATGCCAGGCAATACAATGTAAATAAAACATACAACTCAAGCAAAGAAATCAAACAAACAAACCAAAGAATCCTCCCTGTGGAGGCTCAAAAAGTCAATTTCTGTCACTTTGGGAAAACCATAGTAGATATTGTGGCAAATTACTGGAACTGGGCAATAAACAAAGCTGCATTTGCTAACTGGCCTCTGTGGGTGGCAGAATTTCAGAGATGCTGTGACTGAATTTACATTTGCCTACATGGCTTTCAGTCACATTGCTTCCAGCATGAATCCCTTGTGCTTGGCTGGCTGAGGAGATCCACAGTAGCCTAGACAGTGGTTAAATGCTGTGTGACTTTTCACCTTTCCACAGGTTTCATCATTGGTAGCTGATGAAGCTGCATCCCAGCAGCAAGCCATCAGGATGGATGATGGAATCCAGCCTTGTGGAACCGCCTTTCTCCAGAAAAAAAATTCCCTTGTAGTGTGAGACTGAGAGAGAAAAAAGGATTAACTTTTGTAAAATTGGCATCAATGTGTAGCAAATCAAAATAATTTTACCCTTACTCTGTACTGAATTAATCAAAGAATGGATGGTCAGTTCCACTCAGGGATATTTTATATTCTTTGTCCCACTGGGCATAAGATACTCCCTCTTTTTATAGAGAAGCTGTAGCTTAATGTTGAGGTGCTGTTGGATTTAACAAAAAGCAAACTTCGCTAACATATTTACTACATACATCCATCTCTTTCCTTTTTTTGTCCTTCTGTTAACACATGCAGATAATTTTATGCAAAAGGCATTCTTTTCTAATCCCACTTTTGTTGTACATTTAACCATAGCAAATGCTGCTCACGTATAGACTGCTATTTTGTCCAGATCTCTTCCTGCATTAAAAGACTTATATAATCGTATTGAGAGAAAGCACTTAGAGATCTGTAATCCACTGGTCTTACTGGATGACTTTTTACATAATGAAAATCTGTGAAGGGTAAATATGTTGACTAGGAGTTCCATTAGCACTTAAATAGAAGGTATTTCTGGAAGGTGTACATAAACAACACGAAGCTTCCAAGAGAAGGAAAAGCAAGTCCATAACCAGCTCTCTTGGACTATAAACAATAAGCACATGTTTAATAATACATGATAATTACATCAGTCATTTAGTCCAGTTTTAAATAATTGCATTACTGTAAAAAATACTGTCATATTTACGTGAAGAATTGTGAATCTAATTTTATTTTCATAGTGCAGAAGTTTGATGTTACATTGTTTCCCACATAAGGAGAATCACTTTAATTATAGTTCTGTCTTTCTTTGGTTAGTAAAGTGAAAAACAATGTAAAGAGTTTTTATGGTGATAGACTGGAAATCCTGGAATGAAATTACAATTTTTTGCATTTAACAGACTCACTTCTGATAGTGTGATACAACTGTTGATCATTGTTGCTATCAATACTGCAGGACCAAATTTCACGCTCCTTAGGTTGTCTATATTTTTTGCTAAATTAAATGCCAGCTTTGCTGGCTGAAAGGGACAATTTGGATCCTAACACAAGGAGAATTTAATCCGTTGTTCTGGTCTAATACGTTCCCTGGTTTTCAATTGTCCAAGCCAATGGTTCTGTACTTACCACTGAACAAGTAGTGCTGAAGGCAGTGTCATCTGTTAGCCTGAATGTTATTGTAGCTGTTTCCTAAGGCAGAGGTTTCCTGACTTTTCACACTGCTGATTCTCTTGCACTATAAATTAAGCTACATCACTACATTCAACTTTATGAGCTTGAGAAGGGTGTGTTTATGTTAAGAAAACTGTTAATGAGAGGGTTTAGTACTGTTTCGTTACTGTGGCTGAAATAGGAACTTGAGTTTTTAAGAGCTTACTGACAAGCTGTACTAATATTCCAGATTTTCGTAGAAACAGAGAATAGTTTGGGTTGGAGGGGACCTTAAAGATCTCATTCCACCCCCTGCCATGGGCAAGGGACACCTTCCACTAGATCAGGTTGCTCCAAACCATGACCTAGTAACCACAGCAGTGTTGGATCAAGGGTTGGACGTGATGATCTCAGAGGTCTTTTCCAGGCCGGTTGATTCTATGAATCTAAGCCCTGTCCAACCTGACCTTAAACACTCCAGGGATGGGGCAGCCACAGCTTCTGTGGGCAGCCTGTGCCAGGCCCTCACAGGGAAGAATTTTTTCCTAATATCCCATCTAACCCTACTCTGTGTCAGTGTGAAGCCATTCCCCCTTGTCCTGTCACTCCAGGCCCTTGTACGTAGTGTGTCTTCATCTTCCTTGCCCTTCAGGCACTGAAAAGCCGCAATTAGGTCACCCCGGAGCCTTCCCTTTTCCAGGCTGAACCAATCCCAATTCTCTCAGCTTTCCTCATAGCAGAGCTGCTCTATTCCTTTGATCCTGGGATCCCTCTGATCCTCTGGACTCAGTCCAACAGGTTTGGTTTGGTTTGAATTACTGCTGCAAGCCAACCAGTAAGTTATAAGGAAGTACTTTATTTTTAAATAAATAGTGACAGTAACAGGTTTGCATTATTCAAAGTGTAGAAAATACCACCCATGCACAGGCAAAACCAGTAGAATTCAAGTCAGGAATAAGATTTCAGTATACAGCAAATTTAATGTGTGTATCCTGTGAATAAAGACGAACTGAAGTAGATCAACACTGAAATTAAGGAATAACCATCTTCTTTTGTACTACAATTCCCATTGATCAGCATCAGAATATGTGTTCTTTCATCATGCTCTTAGAGTATTTTGAAGTACCAGTTCGCATTTTTCACTCACAAAATAGCATTTCCAGTCTCCTTCCCGTTGCATTCTGGTAGGAGGAAAAAACTAAGACTGCAAATCTACATCTCTATATCTTAATTTATAAGAAGCCTCAGTAGTTTTGGGCAATGGTGGTTTCATTTGTTTTGGTTTTGTGCACTGTTGTGCCAGAACTCTGTCACACAAACGAACATTTGTATCAAGTGTAGGAGATGAGTGGCAGGAACATTATCAATGTAGGCAGTGCCAATTTTCTCTTAGAATTCTATTCAGATAGCTTAAATACAATATAGATTTTTAGGAACAAACTAATGATGAATAAATCTGCATCTGGCTTTGTCTTATGATTTGAAAATTCATTTTCTGAGGCCCGTCCTTTAAGTACTAATTGTGTGCATATTCATAGTAAAGCAAGACATTTATAGGCCACTTGTATGAATTTGAGTCCTGTAGGAAAAAGTCAAAATTAAAAAAAAATGCAATGGACTGACAACTTCCAATTTACCAGCTCACTGAAGTTTGCTTTAGGGGATGACATTCCCTATTCTTAATAATTCTTCCGCACAACTAACCATGGATAAACTGTTTATCTATGGCTAAGTGTGGAGGAGATACCGAGATAGAAGATAATGAATGCTGTCAGTGTTACCATTTATTCATCCACCAGAAACCACATGTGCATTACTTGGGCTTTGAAAACATGTGGTTAAATGATCTGATTTCACAAGGTACATGGAGTTTTCGAGCAGCACAGAGTAGAGTCCAACTGCTTATCCACCTTCCTGTGAACTAAGTAAAAGGAGAGTGCAAAGAGTGGAAATACTCGAGGTCCTTAGTGATTAGTGGTGGCAATCCTGCAGCTTTTGCTGCATTTTCCTTAAATATGTTTACTCAATGTGATTGTGAAGGAGATCATCTCATGTAAATGAACACACAGGGATTACACCTTGTCTAGGCAGGCTGGAACTGTAGCACCAATACAGACTTGACTTTGTTAGAAAGCAGTCAGGGATCTCTATGAACATAGATTAGCTACATATAAAACATATCCTGTGGAATGAGTGAAACGTGACCAGAATGTGGAGTTGTCTTCTAACACTGTGAATTTCCAAGAGAACGGAATTAGAATGGATCAGTGTGCAGAATTCACATTATCCTTCAACATAAGTATAGTCTACAGCTTTTAATTCAGGCCTCTGCTTACTATTTTTTTCTCATCTACAGGTGACCAGATTCAAATACACTTTTTTCGTCAAATCCAGTTCTCCTAAGTTTTAAAAAATAAATTGTTTGCTGCAGTTTTTCAAAGTATGTTTAGTTGTTAACTCAAAAAGATTAGGTGTTTATATGAGTGTTGTCAGTTTTATTTAACAAGCATGAAGACTGTTGTCTAGTAACTTCACAGAACATGTCTGATTATTATTTTGATAATATGTCCATAATAAGCAATGAAGAACAACTTATTAAACCCCCAATATTATGGGGTCTTTATATTTGGCTGTGGAGTGCCTCATACACCTATGGCACTGTCGTGCATGGACCAAGCATTCCTGAACGGACAGTGAGTGTTCACAGTAATAGAAGTTACTTCCATAAGTTATCTAATAAATACCATAACACAGAGTCCTTCTACAAAACATTATGAAGCTTCTCTACAAAGTTAGTGTCTGTCCCCTCAACTTTACATTTAAATGTTGACAATTTTATAGGGAAGCTCTGGAAAGTTTTATGCTGTTGTTGCATTTATCTCTCAAAATTGCAGCGTTTCAAATGGGATCAATCCTAGAGGCTTCCTTCTCCCAGATGATTAATCAGACACGAATGAGATTGGAAACTGAGACACATTTTTAGCTTTGTCTAGATTTCTGCAAAGAATTTGGGAGCTTGCAGAAATGTGACAGTATCCATACAAGCATCAGTCCCTGCCTGTCAACAGGAGAGGGGATCCTGTTGGAAAGGTGTGCTTTAACTCAAATCTGATTTTTGTTTGCTAAAATCTATTTTTAAACGTTACTGTATCTGCTCTGGGTACATTCATTGCTCCTGTTTTCATAGTTAATTAATTGTAAAGTGCAAACTGCTGCTACAGAAAGAAAAATTCGAACTAGTGGCAAGAATCAGCCTTTCTGCAGGGAAAGATAAAATTGTGGTAAATTTGAATGAGAACCACGAAGCTTGCTAGTATTTTTCTGAATATGCAGCTCTCCCTTTTTTCTCTCTGGATTTGGAAAGCGATTAGTCATTCACATGTGCTGTGCCAATTCATGCAACTGGGTTCTGTACAATCCAGTCTAAATCAACAAGTTTGTTACAGTATGTGGTATCAAACATTGCTTGTTCTGTTTTCTCCCCCCTCCCCAACCATTAACTTATCAAAATCAGAGGTTGATCACATTCTTTTATTGGGGTTTTCATCCTTACCCCTTTCTTCCACTGAAACAATAGTTTTGTGTATTTGATGGGAAGGAAAAAAAAGTATTCTATCCACTTGGTCAGACAAAACACCCGTGTTAATCTCCAAGTTTGTCTTACTTTCGAATACTGTAAACAGTGACCAGCAGCAAACACCAGAGCCTAGTGAAACAACAAAAAATACAGGCTTCTGAGAACAGTGATCTATTAATAGCAGACAAATCCCTGTTACAGCCAGTAGTGATAATACCCTGATACTTCAGTTAACTGTTACAAGTCCAGCAAATGAAGACCTCCTACTCTGCAGGCTGATTTGCATCCCTTTTCTTCAAAAAGCATGAAGAAGCAAATCGTGCATCTTAGGATATTGAGAGGTGAAAAGTTCTACCTTGTTCTTTCCAGCGCTCGGTTTAAATTCTCACCTCATCCAAGTGACACATTTTGAAATTCAAGGTGAGGCATGAAACACTCCAAGCAGACCTGGAGGGGGTCGCTCCCGTCGGAGCTTGCACCACCCTAAGACAGTTTAACCACACACACTGCCAGGACTATGGCGATAATGAGCACAGCAGAGAAAACAATCCCAGCTAGAACCTTGCTGATATCGCAGAAGGATTTATTTTCCTCCACAGAGATCATGCCAATAGAAGAAGCGCCTACGCTGATGGTGGATTTTAGTTCAGCCCCTGGGTCTTGCTTAGCCTCCACTGTCCACTGGGGGACATTGACCTTCATTTCCATCTCGTACATCATCTCTCCTACCTGGTTGATTTCGTTCTCGAGGTCTTTCAAATCCATCACGTCTATGTTGCGCTCGGCCTCGTATTTCATGTTCTGGACGCTCATGGCTCTGGCGGCCACGCCAGAGGTCCCCCCGCTCATTCCCGTCTGGATGAGGTGCTTTTTGGGGACGTTTAGCGGGAACTCGTGGCCCAGCTCCAGGGCTCTCCTCATGTCGATCTCCAGGATCTCTAGGCACGTGGAGAAAATCACCCATAGCCTCTCGAACTCGGCTTTATCTTCCTTACTCACGGTTTTGTCTTTCAGGACCGTGGTCAGCTTGTTCCTGTTGGCCACCGCCAGCTCCTGGGCTTTCTGCCGGGTTTTCTTGAGCTCCTCCCGCAGGTTCTGGGAGTCCGAGGTGCCGCCGATGGTCAGCACCATGTGGCGGTAGCAGGCGGTCACCTTGTTGAGCGCGTCCAGCAGCGCCTTGCACTCCTCCTTCACCATGGTCGCGGTGCGCCCGGGGCCGCCCCCGCCCGGCTGCCGCCCCGACTACCCAGTGCCGGGCCGCGGGCGCTGCCCGAGCCGGGCGCTACCAGCGCACATGGCAAGCGGTGCTTTCGGGCAGTTCCTGCATCCAGCGCCCTCTCCCCGGGCCGGTCAGGCGGTGGCGGGAGCGCGGTCGGGCCGCGGGGAGCCCCGCCGGGCGGGCGGCATCGCCCCCGCCTCCCGCAGCGCTCCCGGGGCGGCGCGTCCCGCACCGCGCTGGAGCGGGGCGCTGCTCTCTGAAAAGTGCCAGGCGCGCGGGAGGGAAGGAAGAGAAAAGATGTATAAGAAATAAAACCAGCGGAGGCTAAAGCTCCGGGAAGCGACAGCCGAGCAGCTGACAGTCCCCGCCGCCGACACTTAACCAGCCCCAGCTGGGCGCCCCGCGGTCACATGGCGGGGAGCGCCCGGCCCGGCCCTATAAGCCCTCGCAGGCTCCGCCTCCGCAGGCAGCGACCCCGCGGCGTTCCCGGCTCCTCGCTCGTTCCCTCCCGCCGCCGCCCGGCCATTGGCTTCGTGCGGCCGCGCCGGGCCCGCCCTGGACCCCGGTAGGGCTCTGCCGGGGCGGCGAGGGGAGGCGGGCGCGGGGGCTGCGCGGTTGGGGCGGAGGGAGGCGGCGGTGCCGGTGTGAGCAGCGCTCCCGCCCCGGGGCTGCCGCGCAGTGACCGCGAGGCTGCGGGACCCGCTCCGGGGACCCGCCCGCCGGGCTGGGACCATCGGGGCGCTCCTGGCCCGCCGTGCTGCGCTGCGGGAGCCGCTCGGCCCCGGCCTGGGCAACGCGGCGGGCGGGGCGGTGCCGGCCCGGCCTTTGCCCGGAGCGCCGGCGGGGTCGGGCCGTGCGGGCGGACACACGCGTGTCCCCGGTCAGTGCTCCCGCGGCGGGGTCGGGCACAACCCGTGTTAACCCCCGAGCCCGGCTGTGTGCGCTGTGCAGGGCGGGCTGGTCCCGCCGGGCCCCCCCCGTGTCCCGCGGGCGCTCCGGGGCCCGGCCGGGGACGGAGCCGCCACCTGTGAGCGGGGCAGGGGAAGGGCCGGTGTGCGACCCGGGGCGCCCGCGCTTGGTTCAAGCGAAGCACATCAGAGAGCGCAGGAAACACAGCTGTTGTCGGCAGCAGAAGTGATGCTCGGCCGCTGCCCTTGGCAGCGCTGCGGTTCCGCTCGGGGAGCGGCGATGGGCGCTAGGCCGTGCCTGTGTGTGCGTCTGCGGGGACACGGTTGGTGGTGTGGAGTGCCACTTGGTGAACTCAGCTGTGTTGTCTCCAGCACGCAGTGTGCCTGCTGGAGTGACTGCTGGAGAGCTTGCTGCTAAACGTACCTTAGCGTTTGTTGGTAGCACAGTGGTTTTCTGATGCTTGCCAAAGCTGTGAAGCCATACTCCTGTGAGAGGGGAGCTTGACCCTTTCCCTTATCACTAGCCCTGCAGTGCAGTGTGTGTTATGAGCAAGATAATTTGCTGTGAGGAGCAGAGTCCAGGAAGACTGACTTCCTGCTGCTGAACACAACCTGAAGAATCTTGTCTAGACTACGTTCGTCCTCCTATATCTTGGTAAATTGGACTTCACTGACTGTTTTTTATTTTACTTTTTTTAATTCATATTTTGTTCTGCTTTAATTTTGGCCCTAGTTCAAAGCCATGTGCAGGTCGTTACCTGTGGAAGAAACCACTTTTTAACTTCTGTAGACTGCCAAATTGTTACTGACTAAACTGAGTAGCACCCTCCCAATTTGTGTGTTGGTAGCCTCGAAGAAACAAATCAGTCATGCCTGTTTCCTTCTAGGCATAAAGAAACACGGGATGATTTTGACCTGATTGTAAGTGAAGTCTTATAATTGCTTAATCATTGTCAGGTGGAAAAAGGATTAGCTCTGGGTTTGAATCTGGAGTCCTGTGTGGCATAAGTGTTAAGCTTATTGCTGACTAAACTGTGCATATTTGTGTGTGTCTGTAGTAGCTGTGTTTAAAGTTTGCCACATGGCACTGAAGTGGCACGTGAGAATCCTGGAGCTGCTTCTCTGCAAGCTTGTCTGGGAAGGGGAGGGAGGGAGTATTAGTTCAGAAACATGTGACTACTTAAACTTGAAGGTAGTAGTAGTTATGATATGTATCAGGTGCAGGTAAGGTAATGCTTAAGTGCATCTTCAGGTGTGTCATGTGGAAGAAAGTCATTATATTAGTTCTAAATTAAGTTCAGCTGCGTGCAGTTATAGGATTTGCTTGGATTGTGGAAAACCTTAAAATTCAGTTGTAGTTTGTTAGGTGTGATATTCTGAAAACCCAAATCTTGATACTGCTATCAAACAAGATGTTGACTAGCTAAAATACTGTCCTGAGAAAACTTTTAGGATGGAGTAAAATCGTTAGAACTGACTTAGGAAGCAGCCTAATGAGTAGGAGGAGAAAGGTATTTCCTTGTTCTGTGCCAAGGCTTTCTTGCAATAGATGTAAATGAATATATTCATATGAAGTACCCGTAAAAACGTCTGCAAAATATTCTGTGGTGCTTCTTGATACATCACTAATTAAATGTTACATCCTCATTTCAATAGAGTAGAAATTTAGGTAAATGCAAGTTTATTTTGTTTAAATGATTGGTAAGTCTTCTCTGAGGGACTTGCTTTTTCAAATAAGCTCATAATACTGAGTTTTGTCTGTACACTGCTGTGGCCTGGGAAAGCTTGAAGCCACGATGACACGAAGAAGGAAAATAAGGGTGAAATACAGTGAAAATAAAATGTGACATCAACCCTCTCCCTCATATCTGATAAACTATGCACTTCCTTAAATAACTCTTCTCTGATTTGCTTTTGGCTAAGCATTTTGCTGGTTAAGTGTCTTGAGACTCCATCCTTAGCAAGAATCTTAATTTATATCATGGAAGAATGTTAAGACTGAATCTCTATCATGATGTTTACTATCAGGAAGCTCTTAATTACTCAGGCTGGTTATGGTGCATTGTGTAGCATCAAAACACTAGCGGTGGTGGAAGTAATTTATTTTGCTGGTTAGAACTTACCTGCTAAATTGTTTTCCAGCCTTCCTTCCCCTTGCTCTGCTGCCTAAAGGAGGAATCTAGTGTAATTCTACAGTGTACTTCATAATTAGTTTTTCTTGTAATTGTCTATGTTTAAGGTTCTTGCAGTGATGAGGTAAGACTTAGTGCTGGCCTGCAAGGACTTGGTTTTCCTATTGAGATATGCAGGGAAAGAATTAAATTCCTGCCCAGTTGTCTGTCTAAGGACCACTGGAACTGAGGGCAATGGCTGGGGGGTTGCTGGCTGCAGTTCCTTTGTGTTTCTGTGGGTGGCCTGTGCTGGGTCTGGCCCTGCAGACTTGGTGTCTTTACTGACTTGTCCCTAATCTTAGAGTTGACAGCAGCCTGCTATCAGTGAGTGGTGGTGGTTTGTAACTAGGCAAGAAATTACTTTGTGACCTGTACGTAGTCTGGGGAAATGTACCACTGTTTTCCTTCTGTAACTAAAGAATGAAAATATTTGGCTTAATTAAATCTCTGTTTATACATGCATTTCAACTCTACTGTTTTTCTTCCCCCTCCAAAGAAGTAACAGTGTTTGACACCTCTCTGAACCTGAGGAGATGGCCTTACATACAGCTTGCAAATATTTGGGGAAATCATCTTTGTTTGAGGAGCTGTTTTGGGAACTTTGTCTTTTCTGTGAATGTTCTTCCTCTAAATGTTCACTGTAACTGTTTGTGGTTCACTGACCACCACTTGCACTTTGGTCTAGGACTTGCTTGAGAGTAGCTCAGGCTTCCTCACCTGAGAATTAAATGCAAGTTCAATACTGGTAAGCCAAGAAAGTTTTTTGGCAGCTGCTCTAGTGGATTTCTAAGCCTGCAAGAATTGAGAATTGGGAATCTAGTCTCCATTCTGTTGTGAAGAGGAGAATGCAGCTTGTTCCTAATACTTGGCTAATGAAAAGTAAGATGATCTCAAATATATGGGAGTGACTAGATAGAAGTGGGAGGTTTACCTGTTGAAGGATGATCCACATATTGAAATGTCCTTCCCCTGGGTGAAAGGAACAGGTGACTGTGGAGAGTCAAGCCAGTATTTTCTCTGCCCTCAAGTCTGGGGAAAGTAAGAATTTGTCCAGATCAAACTATGATGCATATAAATACACTGTTAAAATACAAAGGGTGAACTTGCTTACTTTTCATGGGTGAGCTCAGTTTTCAAGTTTCCAAGGCTGATGTTCTGGCATCACAGAACTTAGTTTTTCTGTGGTTGCTAATGAGCCTTGAGTTGACTGATGCAAATTCACCACTCTCTAATTTGATAGTTGAGAGGTGTTATTCTGACATACTTCAGTTTTACAGAAACCAATAGAAGCTGAACCTGAATCTAAAAGGGATAGGAGTAGCTTGTTTCTTTCTTTATTCCCTTGTGGTGAGCAAGGTGTGCTGGAATGTATCTCAGATGTTTTTCATAGGATGCTCAGTGTTCATCCTTTAGGAGAGGGAGTAAGGTTTCTGAAATGCTCAGAAATAGATTTTTTTTTTTGCCTTTTTTTTTACTTGTTTTTGTTTTTATGTGAATGCTGATTTAGGGCTCAAGTTCAGATTGTAACGTTTTCCCAGAAGCAGAGTAAATGAGGAGTAATAGTGCAGGTAAAACTGGCTAAAGAAATAACTAGGATTGTATTTGGACTATTTAAAATTCACTGCTTGCTTGCTTGCTTAGTGCTTTAAGATCTGCCTAGCTTTGGTTGTTCTGTGAACAAGGGGTGCTCTTGAAGTGTGTGGGGGAAGCACTTTGGTTAAAAAAAGAATTTAACTTGCAGCTGGGGAAGTACTGCTTCCTCTTTTTTCTGTGGGGCTGTGCAGTTTGCTAGCATGACAAAAACTGTTAGAAATGTCTGCTACTCTGAGATAAGTCTTCTAGTTTAATAGTAAGTTGCTACTTGTTCTGATTTGTTCATTGTTTTGAGCATTTCAACAAATGATATTCTAGATACTGCTTTACTAAGCCTTGGTTGTTCCTGTTGTAGAGTTTTCAAGATAAGATGAAATTGATACTGTCATGTGACACTTCAGTATTGCCATGCAAGTAAAATTGAGTGAATTGATGCTTCTTGAACGTGCCATGCTAATGGACATGGTGTTAAAGGTTTTGGAGAACATGGCATTCTGCTTCTATGAAGCTGGGCTTGTGTGGAGAGGGCTCTGAGGTACTTGATGTTCAGATCACAGTGTAATAACCTAACTTGCTTTCCTGGAGATGTTTCAGGTTGTTGAACTAGGCTGATACTTTTTGCTAACTTTGGTAGCTGTTTTATGTTGTTTTGCTGTTGTAATATTAAAGTGCCTTGGTGAAAACAAAATATTATGCTGTTCAGCAGTGAAGTGTTTGTATACACAATCTCTAACTCTGCTGTGAAGGGCATTTTCTCCAGTGTGTTTTGTTAAGTCTTTAATAGAGGTATAGCAGGATGTTCAGAAGATGATGTGCCTAAAACTTAAGTAAATAGCTGTATAACTTGAACGTGGACTGCCAAGTAACAATGCCAATAAAATGATAATCTACTTTAGTGGCTGTTTGTCGAAATTTCAAAATGCTTCTTAAAAAGAACTGAAACCTTCAAGGTCTGGAAAAGGTACCTCACTTGACCATCTCTAAAGGAAAACAATGACAAAATGAACTGTCAGGGTTAATTCCTGTTCACTGTTTTCAGTACCAAAGGCTTCATTTCTGGTGTTTTGGAGAAAACAGTGACAAGCTGAGATTTCATGTCTTTCACTTAAGCTATCTCTTGTACCATAGTTCTGTCATTAGAATTATCACTCTGCTTTTGATCCAGAAAGGATTTGGCTGTTTTAAGATTATGATTGTGGGTTTTTTAAGCTGTAACATAATGCTTATTAGATTGTCTGATCCAGACAGCTTCTGTTCTTCCAGCAATTTGAGCTATTTCTGTGTTTACAGGCATGAAGCCACACACTTAAATGATTCCATTTAAACCTTTTACATAACATTAGTACTTGAACATTGCTTTATAGATCAGCATGATAGAATTAAGTAAACTTAATAGTGAATATAGTTTGACAGTTTTTAGTGAACCTTCTGTTAAACATTAAACAGTTCTAGTAATGTATATAAAGCTTTGTACATTTTCTGCTTTCTGAGTGTTAGTAAATCTGAAGCTGTCCAAGGTGTAACTGGGAAGAGCAGGTCTGTGTCACCCCCAAGTTAAAGTAGGTTGAAGTTGGATGTTGTATTCTGCCAACAAACCCTCACTGGAGGATTCTAATGCATTCTTATAATTATAGCAATGCATTAGCCAGTATTTTCAGATGCATTTAACTTTTGAGGTGGAAAGAAATTGACTTAATCTCAAAAATGCCTGAGCTTTGGGGAAGGTTTAATGTATTCTCCTGAATCTGTAGACTAAATGCCTTTGGTTTTTTTAATTATGTACCTTGTAAATGGTTTCTACATCCACACTTCTGTCTCTCTGAAGAATGCTGTGGGTAGGTGATGGAGGTCCAAGTGAATATAATAACTAAACTGTTTTAAGTAATAAGTATTCTACCTGTTCTTCATATTTGCATTTTAATCAAATATTGCAGGTGTCATATACATAGCTATAAATTCGTGTCAATAAAAGAATAAAACAAACAGATTGTAAAACTTAATTACACCCCCATAAAGAAATAAAGCAGACTCTTTGTAAGACCATCAAGGGCAAAAGCTACGAATCATCTCTGCTTTCCTAAAATGAATTATATGATCTTTTAGGAGTCTTGTAGTCTAAGAATATATGAATTATAGGAGAACTATCACTTTAGTAGAGCTCTAGTTGTGAAAATAAACATATGATAAATGTATATGTATATCATGTAATAAATATGCATGAAGTAGCTAGAATAAATATTAGTCGAATACTCTTTGTCAGGTGCACAGAATCTTTCTGTTGCCCAGCATGCTGTTTGCTTTTATCATAAAATAAATTCCAATTTGAAAACTGATTGATTATATCCTGAGATTCTGTTTCTCACAAATTGGAGAATATTTAGAGACACTTTCTCACAGTAGGTATCCACTAACGTGGCACTGAGCAGCTGCAGGTGTAAAGAAGAGAGAAAAAGGAAGGAAATTCAGAACTGCGATTCTCAAAACAGTGCTAATGTGGCTGGTGGGGGTTTTCTGCTGTGTGGGGACCAGCTCAGAGTTTGTAATCTGCTGCTTCTCAAGATGGGTGACAAATATCCATGTGAACTAAAAGTTTTGGCTCCCTTGAGTACAGCATGTCAATGGCACCTTAGTTGCATTACAGTAGCTGAAATGCTGGAATTCAGCATTTGAATACACTTTCTTTTCACTTCTTGCTGGAGCTCTCCAGGGTGATTCAACGCTGTCAGCCCAGTAGCTCTGTAGTGAAAGAATTTCTATGGCCCCAACTAAGTATTTTAAAACTAGTTACTTGCGGTGTGTAACACACACCAGGAATTGAAGATTATAATTTCAAGTTCTTCTGTGATGTTCTGTCAACAGTGATTCTTAAAGTACTCCAGTTGCTTGTGTCTTGTGGGTTTTTTTTGTTTTTGTTTTTTTTTGTTTTGTTTTGTGTTTTTTTTGTTTGTTTGGGTTTTTTTGTTGTTGTTTTTGTTTTTTGGGTTTTTTTTTTTTTGGGTTGCAGGCAGTGATGTAAGAGCTAGGTTAGTCATACAAACCTCTTAAAGTCTTCTTAAGAAAACCTGTGGGAACTTCCCTCCTCCCCTAAATCCCTTCCCCCTGTTTTGCTGGGGAGTTAAATGTTCTTTTAAATTTCTTTCTGGCTGAAGTTTATCAGTTGGGTATTTTTGATGGTGAGGTTCAGGTTTCTAGATGAGGAGGATGTGTGGAATGTGTTCTTCTCCTCCCCTCCTTTTATGGGAGGAACTCTTTGAAGATGTGTTAAGTTGAAGAAGTGGCAGTGTAGCTGTAGCAATTGGAGACAGTTGTGCAGTGCAGTTTTACTCTGCACTCTCATGCTTGGTTGCTTTGTTGTGTCAATGTGCTTTTTTCACCCCAGCACAGTTCATGGTTTAATACTTTCTCCATCACTGTCTTGGGAGACCATAGCAACCTCATCTTCTGCTGCTTGACCAGATACATGAATTCACCAAACAAAAGGCAGATGAAGCTACCTCAGTGGGCCAACTCCATTAATGAAAGCTAGATTTAGAAAGTACCTGGAGACACTATGTAATCCAGCCTCCTGGCTTCACTGTGTCCATTATCGCCCCTGGGAAAGGTTTGTCTAACACGATCTTAGAGATTTACTATGTGAGACCTGATACCTTTGCAAGCAGTCTAAACCATGTGCTTATCTTCTCTTTTGAAAGGTGTTCCTGATCTGTAATCTGAACCTGTTTTCTTCAGTTAAGGCCTGTTTCTGAGATAGATGTGGAAAAAATGCCCTTCACTGAAAGCTTGATACACCTGGGGGAAAAAAATTCTTAGCTGGTGTTTCATACAGTTTCTTCAGCATAAACATCACTGCCTTTCATGGACTGGATTCTGCTTACAGGACCTTCTTGCCTTTCTCACTTCAGATTCTTCTCCGGTCAGTTCATCTCTTGTGATGAGGCCATCAGAGCATCCAAAAAAAGCATGTGGTACTCCCAAATAAGTCTTGCTGTGGCAAATTATTTTGCAGACTGCACACGTGTGTACGTACAGCTCTGCTTGGTCCTTGACTTATATGTACTAAATTGTATTTACTTATATATATATTAAACTGTCTGAGTCATGTTTGGACTGTAAGCTACAGTCACTTAAGATCTTACTTGGAATTGTGCCCTATCCAGATGTTCAGCAGGCAGGTGGTTTTTTGTAGCTAACTAGTTGTGCTTATTCAGATCAGTGATGAGACACCTGTGTTCCTGCTGCAGACCTGACCCTGGGCTTGCGTTGCCTTTTCCCCTTCCCCTGCCACTGGCTGAGGGAGAATCCCACAGCTTGAACTTGGACTGCAGCTGCCTACCAAGAAATGTTTCTAGTCATCAGCAGCGGTGGATTTCCTGGTGGTAATCCTGTTTACCCAGACGCTGTGGTGGGGCAGATCGTGGAATGATTGATGTTAGAAGGGACCTGAGAGATCATCTCTCTCTGCTCTCCTACCATGGGCAGGGACACCTTCCACTAGACCAGGTTGCTCCAAGCCCTGTCCTGTGTTTAGCTCTCTAAGGCAGCTCTTCTTGTGCCTAATAGGAGGACCAGAGCCCAGCTCAGTTAACAGGCTGTAGATCAGTTAACAGCAGGGCTGAAACCCAAAGGCTATCTGAAATCAGTGGGAGTTGGGTGTGTGTTTTTCCACTCTCTTAAACTGCGATACAATGAGCTCACACTGAGTAAATAATGTGCTAGGTGTAATTCTCCATGTGAGGAAACAGAGGGATACTGATTGTCTAAGGGTGGCTTGCACAAACTGAAGTTTGTAGCTCACCCTTTCCCAGCATGTTCAGCTGAAAGTGTGTGAGGAAATTGTGCAACTTATTGATTCCTAAGGGAAGCTGGATGAGGGACAAAGATATAGAGCCAGGTTGTAAGCATTTGTAAGCCTGTTAATCTCAATTCTTCTTAAAAAGAATAACTCTGAAGTTATTCCAGTTATTCCAACCATTCTTTTGTTGAGTTTTTTTTGTACCCCTGGGTGTAGGATGTCATAGACAATTAGAATTGAGAAAGCAAGCAGTCAAGGCTCTAGTGCCTTAGGGTTATCTTTTCCAGGGCACTGTGACACACCTAGTGACAGCTTTTTCCAGTGCTTACAGATTTGGGTTTTCTGTCTCCAGTCCCTTTTTTGCTCACTATTTTGCCAAATGTTGTGCATCAACCTGACCACAAATCATTGGGACCTTTTCCCTGGGCATAGAGATGACCAGAAATTATGAAATTCACAGTGACTTTTTAATTATGACATGGGTATTCATATCTCCCTGGTGTCCTCTGTAACTGTCCCTGGAAAGTTGTGGATTGCCTTACACAAGGGTGTGTTACCTTATCTGGGTGTCTCATTGATGTGTGTCAGTAATCCTTATGCAGGTGAGTTTTAAGACTTACATGAGCATAGTGCAAAAGCATCAGTGTCCTGTGGGGCAGTAGAATCTGCTGTAAAAGAGCTGCTGACTTGTCTCTTGACCTGTTTTAGATTTCAGCAGAAGTTAGCTTGTATGTCAAAGTGTTAATAATTCTGATCTTAATTTCTCTCCTCCTCTTCTGTATTCATTGTTAGACTCCAACACCTGGAAGGCCTAAGGAGACATTATGAGGATAAATGTGGAATTGGAAATTTATATTAATGAAAAGAATGTCTGAATAACTTCTGAGTAACCATAGTTATAGCTTAGTATGCCACTGTCTGCTTACATCAAGATCTGAAACTGCTTTGTCCTTTCAGAGGAGAATCAAAACTATCCCCTGGGTATTCCCAAATAGCTTGTTTTAACAGATATATTGTGTGTGATACATCAGCCATTCTCCATATGTATTTTAGAAAATCTCCTTGGAATACCTCAAGTCCATATGGCTATGTATGATGAAGATATCTTGAAAAATCCCTTTTATTTGGCCATTCAGAAGCGACGCCCTGACCTGTGCAGCAAAGTTGCAGAACTCCATGGCATTGTAAGTGTAAATAAGTAGATTTAAAAGCTGATTATTAAGTACTAGGTGTTTGAGTTTCAATCATATGTCTGACATGAAACATTTAAAGATTAGTTTAAGCCTGCAAAACTTGGAAGTGAAGCAGAACAACTTTTAGTTTAAGTTGCATGTTATTTATTGATATGGACCTCTTGATATATTAAGGTAGTAAAAGGTTAAAATTGGTATTGTTTCTAAACTTTACTGGAAATTTCTTTTCTTTGCTGTGAACTGAAGTTACATATTCTCTCACCTGCTTATAACTGAAAATGAAATTGACCTTTTGAATTCCTGGCGAACAGATAGTCCCTTATTTCAGACAGCATTTTGCATAGCAAAATAAAGCTATGAAATTGAGCTGGAATAAAAACTCCAGTCCTTAAGATTTCTAATCTGGGTGTCCTGCAATTAATCGTTCCAGATTAAGTGTTTGGAGACTGTATTAAACATGGAGGTTATTGTTACCTGATCATAAAATTTGTTGCTTTTTAATTAAGAATTAGTCCCAAACTGCCAATCTGCTGATGTAGAACCAAGATGCTTCTCATCTTAAATTTTTTTCTTCTTTCTGATGGATTTTTATTTTAGTTTGAAAATATACTTTTATTAGCTGCTTAATTTTAGGTCATTTGCGTGACTGGTGCTAAGTAACTGAAGATTTCATCTCCTCTTAGTATTGTCTTCAGTTGTCTGTCATCCTTTGTCAGATAAGTCACTAAGTGAAACCCTGGGTTAATTACTGGATTGTATCTAGCAATAGCCTTTCCTTTTGTTTAAACAAAAGCACCTATAGTGGCTACTGTTTAGTAGTAAATATTTATAAACCAGATTTAAGTGCTTGCCTCTAAAGGACAAAAGCTATTGATGTTTAGTCTAGCAATACATGGCATTTCTCTAAAGCTTGATTTAACTCTTTCAGGTGCTAGTTCCATGCAAAGGAAGCCTTTCAAGCAACAGTCTTTCTTCCTGCCAGTTTGAATCTTATGTTCTGAAGCCACTAGAAGAAAACTTTGAAACCTTAAATGGAAAGGTATTTCTGTAGCTTGGGGACACTCCAATAAGTGATTCATTGCTGCTGATGACTGATAGTGTGAACCTGTGGTTACAGGAGAGGTAACCAGAAGTGAGACTGCTTTCCAGAAAAAGCTGTATTGGGCATGCCCACAACAGTAGGAGTTTTGTTGAGTGGCAGAAATGCCTTTTTCACTTAGTTAAGAGCTACCTCTTCATCTTTCAGGCAAGTAGCAGCATGCCTGTATTATATGCAGATGAGAGTTCACCAAGGCTTAAGACAAAATTATGATGGTATTGAATTGTGTCTGAAGTCTGTCTTAGTTCAGGGAGTACAAAGTGACTGCTGTAGCAGCAGGCCATGCCAAAAAAGGCTGACAATGCATAGGATCCCAGTTTTTTCACTTGTAATTTTACAGCACAATCTGAGAACTTGCACCTGTAGTTTGCAGGCTGTCACCTAGATCTTCCTGTTGCAGATGTGCTCACTGGAGTTACTTGGGAAAATAAAACTAGGTGTCAGAAACATAGACAAGGTGTGTGGTGTTTTTCTGAGCTGAGCTTAGGTTCTAATTCTAAGTTGTTGTTTGTTTGTTTTTTCAATTTCCCTTCTACTAAAGTGCTCTAAAATCTGCAAATAGTCACTTAGACCTTGGTGATTGTCTGAAACTTCTGAAATGTCCTCTAGTAGTAGACTTGTAAAGAAAGTGGCTGTAACCAAGGTTCAACCAGCCATTGTAGACTGAAGGAGATTTCAGTGTCTACACAGATGAGAATGTGAAGTCTTTTCAATCTGTGGCTTTCTTGTCTTGCAAGTTTCTCTTCTTTCCCTTGAAATTTAACTATGCAATGCAGAAGCCAAAGAGTAACTCTTCTAGCAGAGTTTCACGCTTGATCTGGTCTTTGTTTTGTTTCAGGAGATCTTCATACAAGGAAACCTCATCATTTTAGGAGCCGGTTTTAATTCCCATCTCTCGGTACCCGTTCTCTTTGAGGAAACATTTTACAATGAAAAAGAAGAAAGCTTTAGTATACTGTGCATAGCTCATCCCCTGGAAAAAACAGAAAGCTCAAGTATGTGTTGAAGTGTTAACTTGGTGGCTGCCTTTGCACAGTGAGCAAATAAATGTGTTTGATGTGCTTAATACATTTGTTCATTCTGAAAAGTGTTGGTTTGGTTGAAAGCCCTTGGCATTCATTAACTTCCTGGGGCAGATGTTGGTGTGCTGCTGGAGAGAAACATGAAGTTGCTGCCAGGCAAACTTCTGTTGAATTTCTCCCCAAGTCTCAGCACTAGAAGTCAGTGGAGTAATTAATCCATCATGATTTTTTTAGCAGTGCTCAGTTTAGTGCTGACTGCTTAAAACAGGGATTTAGTCTTAAATATGACGTGTATCTTGAGATGAAAGGTGGATGCACAGAAAACTGGAGGGGTAAATTCTTTTGTGATCACTTTGTCAGTGGATAGAGGTTGAATGGCATAGTTGTGTAGCAGCCCTCCTGGTTGAATGTCTTATTAATTTTTTTCCTGTAATGAAAGTGCCCTGTAAGGCTGGAACACTATTTTCCAGACTGACTGTTAATGCTGTGAATGTAACAGGATTTCCTTGTGAACTTTTATCTGTGTTTACTCATTAAGAGGAATAGAAAGGTCCTTAAGCAGCTAAGAAGCTTCAGCTTTTTCTGAAATAAAAACATTAGTCTTCCTAAATAAATAAGACTTGAAACAAGTGATGAAAACATGAAATAATATTGGGGTAGTGTGAAAATAGTACTGAGAGGGAAGAATGGAAGTGGTTCTGAAAAAATTAGCTGGCCTTAAATTCTATAAATATTAATCTATATATCAAAAATTATTCTTGTGGCATTCTTTTTAACCATTACTTAATAGAGTTTATAGCAGCCTTTCAGAGAAGTAGTAGTTTCTAATTTCAAAAGTAATTTGAATTGAATGATTTAAACCTTTTATTAGTTGTCTGGCTTTGATTGCAAATGAAAGATTTGCCCAGGAAAAAAAACTTTGGAAAAGCAATATGAATTCTAAGTGAGGTATTGTTGTTTTATTCAGAAGGAAAGTGGATTAGGTTTAATATTTACATGAAGCAACTTTGCCCTCCCATTCAGAGAAAGCGTGTCTAAATAAAGAATAGGTTATGTAAAAGTCCAAGATGGGATTTTTACAGCTCACTTAAAGCACCCTGACTTCCTGCATGTGCACTCAGTCAATACTGTAATGTGCTTTTCTTCTACTTTCAAGCTTGACTTACACAACTCATAAGCTGAGTGCATGTGGCAGTGGGAAAAAAAAAATTGAAATCTGTTTCAGCTATTCCAAATAAATACTTGACATAAAAAGCAAGAGAGACTTCTCAAATGTGATGCATTAAATTCTTTTAGTTAAAAGAAGTACCTGTAGTTAAAGGTACAGTAAGCTGAATTAATGTTTCATTGCACGTAAGCTGGCTGTGTGTGTAGGGACAAAATGTATTTTCCCCATGCATATGTATTAACCCTGTGTGTTAATTCTTGGCTTTCATTCCAGGTGAATCTACAGCTTCTTCAAACTCCTATTCTCTTAAAAATATCGAAGATGTTAGAGAATTCTTGGGAAGGCACTGTGAGAGATTTGATAAATACATAGGATCTTTCCACAGAACATTTAAAGAACATGAAAGGAAAAGCCTCCGCCACTACATAGTCAGTACCTTCCTTATTGATGTCTAATTTGCTAAATACAATTTGTTTCACTGCTCTGGTTGTCTGAGTGTACTGAGCTTTTCTATGTCAGAGTTAGCCTAGAGTTGAGTAAGAGAGGGAAGGGAGAAAGTGAAATTCTTAAATGTGAATTACCACATACTAATGTTTTGGTAAATGTAATTATTCTTCCTTAAACTCTTAACGTAGTGCACACTTCTGAGGAAGAGAAGGCTTCCTTTATTTGCTTATTTAAGCTTTGTTCCTTCAAGTCACATTATGTGAATCTGATGGTTTTTCCTTCTTTTCTCCCTCCTAGGATTCTGTCAATGCACTTTATACCAAATGTCTCCAGCATCTTTTGAGAGATTCGCACTTGGTAAATGCTTACTCCCCTAAATACATAGTACAGTGGTACTTAGGCAATAAATTATCTGACTTTCTCATGCTGTTTGTGTGGCTTTCCTTTTCCAGAAGATGCTTGCAAAGCAAGAAGAGCAGATGAATCTGATCAAACAAGCAGTTGAAGTAAGCATCTGAAATGAAGGAAAATAATTAGCAAGCTATTTTTGACTCTCCCTTTCATGCCTAAAGTACTGGGTTTTTTCCTACAGATGTATATCCACCATGCTATTTATGATCTAGTCTTCAAATACGTGGGGACTATTGAGGCAAGTGAGGTAAGTTTCTTTGATTGCTAAATGGTGGTTACATTAATCTAAAGCATTTTAAAAAAATTGTTACTTTTCTATTGACAGGATGCTGCTTTTAATAAAATCACCAGGAGCCTTCAAGACCTGCAGCAAAGAGACATTGGAGTAAAACCTGAGTTCAGGTGAGAGAGATGATGGTGGTGGGCTTCTTTGAGGAGTCACTGAGATTTTATCTTTAATAGGATCAGGTCAGCTAAAAAGTGTCTTCCTTCAGACATTATTTAGGTTTTTATCTTCATTTGTTTGAGGCAGAAAAACAAAGCTTTGCAATTGTTGCATTGATGGTGGTTTGCTTTGCTTTTATATTTTTATAGTTCCCTCTCCATCTATAAGGTATAGAAATGGAGGTGTGCTTGGAGTAGAAATAGAAACACTTTAAAACCATCGCTTCAGTTCAACTCTGAATAAGTTAAAACTTGGGCTTTGGATGTCCTGCACATGAACTGTGTATGCTAATCATTCCTTTCAAATTATTTTATAGTTTCAATATCCCACGTGCAAAGCGGGAACTGGGTCAGTTGAACAAATGTACTTCTCCTCAACAGAAGCTTCTTTGTCTGCGTAAAGTTGTACAAATCATTATGCAGTCTCCTAGCCAAAGAGGTCAGTAATTAGTGAATCAATAATTTTCAACTTTTTTTTCTTAACCAGCACACACAGCACTTCAGTATATAACCCACTGTTTGAATGGCACTTGTAGATCAAACACAGCTGAGTTGGGATCTCTGAGGTCTCCAAACCAAACTAAATGGAGGCAGGGTAAACATTTCAGTGCTCGTTCTTGTGGGGTAAGGTGGGGTTCTGGGTTAGCTATATATATATGTATTAGCTGGGGCATGTGGGAAGCTTCATCTGCCAGGACAGTTCCTCATGCAGCAGAATTGAGAGTGATTCACTTTAAATGCTTCTAGATAGTTTTTTGTCTGTTGGTCCATGCTCCTTGATATCTTGAAATTGATACTCTTGAGATGCATCTTATTCAAAATGCAGTGTTGGTGGGGGAAAAACAAACCTGTGTGCTGCTTTGGAAGTGCTACTGTGGATTACAGAGATGATTCTGTGATAGGAAAGCATGAACTTCTTAACCTGGTATTTATTTTTTTCTAGCTTGGAAAGAGAAGATACTTCTACTAAGCAAATAAGAGTAGCACAGTTAATTTATGCTTTCCTTATTTCATCTCTTCCTTTCTCCACTAAGTCTACTGGGTTATGGAAAACTGTATCAACTTTGAATGTAGTCTTTGCCTTCAAGAATTTCAGAGCCAGAGCTCAAGATTTCCTTCTGTGTAGGAAGAGAGGGATGCCAATCAAATATTGCAGTTTGTACAGTACAAACTTGTAGTTGTGTGTTGGCTCCTGTCAGCTTATTTTAGTGAGAGACTGAGAACACTTGGAGGCTGCCTTGGTTATTTAATGCATTCCCTACTAGTAGAGCTGGGCCTTAGTCTGAGGAGGTAGAACTCCCATTTAGGGTTTCTGTATTTGACTTGAACCATGACATGAGTAACATCAGATGTGAATATATATATATATATATTTTTTTTTTTTAGTTAACATGGAAACCATGTGTGCAGATGATCTTCTCTCTGTTTTGCTGTATTTGCTTGTAAAAACAGAAATCCCAAACTGGTATGTAAGTACTTTGGCTATACAGAGCTCCATATCTTATGTAGTGCTGCTGTAGGACCAAATGTTTCTGAGTATGCAGTAATAACTTACAACAGGCCCCCTTACACTTCCAGTAATGGAGAAAACTATTTGTTACTAGGACAAAGGCCAAAGATGTGTTACTAGTGAGACTAAATTAAGGACCTATCAGGAATGTCTTTGTTTTGATTCCCAGCCTAGAAAAAAGTTTTAATGGGAGGCCATTCTATGAAATCTGCATGTCAGTATGAACTTCACAGTGGTTCTCTCTCATCAGTGTTGGGAGCTGTGAAGCCTTTATGCATCTTCTAGATGTTTGATACATTTCTTATAGAGAAACTAGATGTGAATGTGTAAGTGCTTCCTTCTGGTCTATGCCACTGTACTTCTCTCCTCACCTTCAGTATAAGTCTTAAACCTTCCACATGGACCTGAACTGAATTTCAGTGTTGGTGTGTCCTGTGTGTTGCATTTTACATGTGGCTATCACTGTGCACTGATGCTTATAGTGCTTAAAACATTAACATCTTTGAAGTTCATGGCTTTACCTTTCTGTTTCAGGATGGCCAACTTGAGCTACATCAAGAACTTCAGGCTTTGCAGCTCAGTGAAGGATGAGCTGGGATACTGTCTAACCTCAGTTGAGGCTGCAATAGAATACATACGACAAGGCAACCTCTCTGACAGACCCGCAGTAAGCCACTGTTAAACCCTGTCAAATGTCTGTCTCATGTCTTGTAGGACTGTGTACCACTGCAGGGGTAAATCCAGACACAGGATACAAATAACTAACAGAACAATTCCCTTTTTTTGCTGCAGAAATGATGTTGAGGTGACTACCTGAAGCAAATGCTAAAAGTATCTAATGATTACAACAAAGTCCTAACCCTGTAGCCATACTTGTTGTTCACTGTATACTCCTTGATGAAGTAGGTAAATGGTGAAGTCTTGAATCTTGATTAGGGGAAAAATGACAACACTGTTTTTCTACAGCTGAGTCTTCAGTAAGTCTGGTGTTTCCTGTTTGTACTCCATCATGGTTGTGAAAGCAGTGCAGTACTTGAGAGTAGGCATGGCTTAAACAAATTCTTGTGTCGTTTTAAAAAGCTTAGCTGTGCTATCAGAGTGGAGATTGCAGTGTAACTTAAAATAATTCATTAAATCTTCATGCTCTGAAAATTCAGCATGTTTGCAGTGCAGGTTCCTGTGCTGTACCAAGCTGATACATTAGTGGGACTGCTGGGCTATGAGAGGGTGGTGTTTGAAGGTCAAATTTGGCTCTTGGGATCTCTGACCTACAGGGGCAGGAAGTTTGTGTATGCATGAGTTATTTGCTACTGGGCAGCTAGACCTTCTGTCAGTCTGGTCAATCCCTGCAGGCCAGTCAAGGTGATAGTGGTGTGACTTTAGAAACTTCTGTGATTAAGAACTTTGTAGCTTATTTAGTAAAGGAATCCAGTCTTACCGTTCCTGTAAAATTTCCTACTGTTGTAAAACTAGGTTTTCCCAATCTGATGTGGAAATCAAAAGGAGTGGACTTGGAACCAGAGTGAATTCACTGTCTGTCTGCCCAGCTGCAAAGCATTGTAATCTAACTACAGGGGCCAGAATAATGGCTCAATGTGCAGGGCTTGGGATGGGATAACCTGGGGCACAATCTTAAAGAAGCAGGACTCAAAATAACATTTTAGCCTCTTGTTATTTTTGGGTTTGTCCTTGTCTGGGGTCTTTCCACAAACCCGTTGTGCAGGTTTGTTTTGTACACTGAAAAAAATCAACACTTTCATATTGTTTAAACAGACTGTGGTGGTATTTCTTGTCTGTAATGCTGTATTGAATTGTGTTTAAAAAATAAAAACATTAGTTTAAAAGAAAAACAACTTGACCTACAATTTTGCTTCCTGCTGTCATTCACAATCAATATACAAATACCAAAGCTGGTAGCCTGAATGGAGAACTGAAACCACAGCAGAATTGTCTTCCATAACACTACCAGCAAGCTAAAAAAGAATATATTATTCTTAAATTTCTAGAATAAAAACTGTTTCCTACTAAATACCTGATCCTATCCCTCCTTATGCAGCTAAGCAGAGCAAGCTTTTATACTGGAATTACCCTCCTTTGAGTATAACTTAAATGCCACTGCCATTAAGGTGCTGTATTTATTTCTTCGGGAGGCACCTGCCTTGGAAGATGAACTATATATTTGAGAAGTCTAAAAGAGGACATGAGTGTCTGCACCAAAAGGAGAGCAAGCAATAAGTGTTCCTGCCAATACTTCAGCTGGAACAGCTCCAGACCTGGAACACTTTCTCACTTCAGGGTGTGTACAGTGAGTGTGCAACACAAAATCCTTCTGCTTTGCTTTCATGATTTGAAGGCAGCACCCTGAGGTGAGGGGAGAAAGCAGCAGAACCTTGAAGATGAGGAAGTGGGTGATGGCTTGCCCTCAACACAGCAGAAAATAAAAGAGCTGGACCACCCTTTTCTCCAGTGTAGGAGAGGGGAGAATGTGGTACTCAATGAAGTGAAAGACGATGAGGTGGTCAATACCCCTCTGACAGGAATGGAAAAAGGGTAGTCAGGAGAGGCAGGAGCACTGCTCTCCCTTCATGAACTTAGCTGAGATATTTCCTTCATTCTCTGGTTAAGGAGATGAACTTCCCATTGAAAGCAGTACCAGCTGTCATGTTGATGCCCCATGGTTTTCCAGATTGTGGTGGAAGGGGTTGTGGGATATAAGCAAGCAGGAACATTGCTGTGCCCTGGGGCTTCATTACAGCCCTTTATGTGGCTATGCTTAATTTTATAGCTGGCTTCAGATGGAGCTTTTGGCAGCTGAGTAATGCTGCTGTCCAATCCCTAATGAAGCAACTACAGAAAGAAAACTCAGCAGGGAACTAATGTACCCTGTGGGATAATGGGCATATTATCACCCTCACATCAGTATGTGAATTGCACTTAGGACATTCTTGCCAGATCCCTTCCCCAAGGTCATGCAAGCTGTGCTGAGACACTTTGGTTGTGGGGAGGAGAGGAGCCTCTAACTGGTAGCTCAAAAAAAAATCAGTTCTATTTTCTGGGAGTTGTCAACTTCATTAAATTAGAATTTCAGTCAGTAAGTGTTGGATGCTAGTTATGTTCCTATGCCCAGTCTGTTGTGTAGTAAGACTCTGTAGTTCAGAGTGTTGAAATCAGGTATAAAATAGGGAATTAGAGCCAGTCATGATAGGATGGGCAGCATTTTGTTTTATGTATGGAAAAACTGTAGGTAGGGAAGAGCTTGAGATGGGGAAATTATCCCTGCTCTGCTCCCCTCCCCTCCAACCCCGTTATTAGCCTCAATTTGTGTTTGAGACTTCCTTTCTTGGCTTCTGCCCCCAAGTCATCAGTTGTAATCTGTGAAAATCACTTTGGATAGATCATTACACAAGCACACCCTCATAGGTACAAATATTTTATTTCTCTACACTGAGAGTAGTGTTCAACAAAAAGATCATTAATGTTTGGATGTGTAGTTTCTAGACAACATACACTTAAAATACCTGACAGTCCCACTCAAAGCAGTTTCTTTTAAAAAACAATTAAAAACTTACAGACTGAAGTAAGGCTGTTACAAGTGACTTTTGACTTGAAAGGCCCAAACTTACCTAATGCTTCAACCAGTATCCGATTCTTTTGTCATTCTGTGTTTCAGTTTTGAGGATAGGGGGGATAACCTCTTTTTTCTGACTTAAATGATAAATGTATAATACTGCTTTATTAGGGTTGCTGTCTTAGGTGACTTTTAAATAATTATTCTATTTGGGGAAGACTTTTCTTGAAAATATACACTGTGGAAGGAACTGTTCTAAAATTGCAGTAGTTCTTGCAGGTGATTACTGAGGTTCTTCACAGTCAAAGTAAAAAGCTGTCTGGGAGCATCCATATTAAAAATTCTGATTAGACATCAGAAACTTGTATCAGTCAAACTTTTGATTGCATATTTCTTAGGGAAGTTATTCCTGGTCACACTGAAAAATTTATCCAAGGAAAATAGTAGTGCATGCCTTTTAAGTCTGAAAAAATACATTTGGGTATCTTTAACTAAAGTACTTAGATTTGAAAAGATCTGTGAATACATGTCATCTTTAGGTATCTGAATACAAACAATATCCTGTAAATTACAGATACAGATTTTTATCTCTAGACCTCTCAAATATGTTTTTAATGACATTATTTGTGGTACAGTTTAGGGGTCTTTTAGACAGCTTTATGAGAAGCATCTGTGTTGAAACACAAATGATTTAATTTCTAGAAAATCTGAACTCTATATTTTTAGTATTCAACCAATCTTGTATATTTGCAGTTCATGAGGTTCTTAAACTTCATAGTGATGTTAAGAGTGGAGTCACACTGGGTTTACTCATATCTGGTCTTCACAGACATAGTTGTAGAAGCCACAGCCCAGATCCTAAACCATCAAAGCTTACCTCATACGTGGATGTGTATCTTAAGGATAGTGGTCTTATGGTTTATGGAGGCTGAGGTCTTTCCATTTCTGGAGAGATAGTCATTATCCAAACAGCATCCAAAAAAATTATATTCACTGCCAACCATATGCAGCTCTTGATCACAATCAACTATGGGCAAGTGTTTTCTTTAGATATTTGTTTTATTTCATGGGAGGCTCAATGTTCTGACTCAGTAATTTGCACTTGGTTTTGGGGGCATTTATATTCTTTAGTGCATCCTGGAGCGTATCTTCAGGTATCTCAAAAAATGAGAAGTACCAATGCAATGGCACTACGTGTGCTTGGCTCAAACTCCAATTTTCAAGAAGTGCCCAGTGAGAAACACAGCATGAATGAATCTGCTGCAGAATGCTTTGCCTGGTGCAGTCTTTTAATTTTCAGCAAGTAGCAGAGAGTTCAGCAAAGTCTTTGAGTCAGAGTTGTATCTGGGTCATCTTTTTTAGTAGCCACCAGCAGACATGCCTTACATGAAGCTGTCTTGTTTTGTCCTGGTGAGAAAGCTCTGTTGTACCTCTTACAGTTCTTGCTGTCTTTGATATGTCTTTTCTAGTTTTGCTGTGTTCTTTTTAGGGTGGTACAGCCATAATTTTGTTAAGGTTCAGCTAGTTCACAGCAAGCTGCAGTAAGGGAATATTTTGGTGAACATCTACTTACTATTTCTTTGAACAGCAGGTGCACAGTCTTTTGAGTCTCAGAATCTTAAATGTGAAACTGATTTAAGCTTCAGCGTGTCTGGTAATTCATACATGGTAAATAGAGTGTTTAATGTTTTGAAAACTTAATTCCACTGTTAAGGTACTTTACTTATGCTTGTAAATTAATAGATAATTTATATATTTTATTTTCAGGAATCTGAGAGTCTGTGTGACAAGCTGCTTTTGAGACAAAGGATGAACTTGTTGTCCCAGATGTCTGCTACACCAATAGACTGCTTGTTTAAGGTTAATAACTTTTATGGTAGAATAAATGTGTACCTACATATTGCGTGTTTATATCCCTCCCTTTCTGCTATTTTCTGGAATGTTATGAAGTGTTATTTACATTACTACTGCAAAACGTGCTTTAGATGCTAAAAGTGTCTTTTAGATTTAGTACATTTCTGTGCCAAAACTTAATATATCCTAACTTAGTATAATCTTAGGGATTTCAGCATGTTACATGAAATATGGAAGCAAATGAGGATGAAATGCTACTGCTGCTGGTATTGTTTGGCCCATTTAATTCACAGATGTGATATCAGTGTCTGGTTGTCCCTCACAGCTTTTGGTGCTTGAAATTGAAAGAGTTTTCTGAAATAATTTAAATGTGGTCACCTGATAACCTCTCTCTATTGTATGTTAATCTCATACTGTCATTCTGAAAGAATTTTGCCTCTACAAGGACACAAAGCAGAGCTTCTAATTATATATGTTCACAGCTTATAGCTAGAGACTTAGTAATTTTATAGAAATGTTTTTGCACAGAGGGAGCTCAATTTCATGATTGAGTCTAAAGAGAACAATGGGAATTGTTTTAATTTTTTATAGAAAGTGAAGTAAGCCAAGAACAGATTTTTTTTTAATACTGAGTGCCCATTAGGGGGTTTTGTGCTGTGACATTGTTCATTTCTGCTTTCTGATGCTTGAATATGTCTTTTATAATGGGTTCCTTTCATTTTGTGCTTCAGTAAATTACTCTTGTTGGTTTTGTGTGGTTTTTTTTTTTTTTTCCTTAAAAGGAGGCCTTTTGTATTGGTTCCTCATTCTCTTTTTTTCTGTGTGGGTTTTTTTTTGTAGCATATTGCTTCAGGTAACCAGGAGGAAGTGGAGCGACTGCTAAGTCAAGGTGACAATGATAAGGACACTGTGCAGAAAATGTGCCACCCGCTCTGTTACTGCGACAAATGCGAGAGGCTGGTTTCTGGGTGAGCACTCTTCATCCCCACAGATACACACAAAGCTGTGTAAAAGCCTGTATCTTTACTTCAGAAAGTAAGCTGCTTTTGGTTAAAGAGGAATTTGGTAGCGCTTCAGGATGGGGGTAGAGAGAGTGTGCCTGTGTGGTTTGAAATAGCAGAGGAAATGCTAGAAAACAGAACACCTTGGAACCCACCAGTTCTGTGATGGAGGCTCTGTGTCCTTTGGTAAATGTGGTGTTTCTTCTCTTGAACCAAACTTACAGATCTCGGGCAAAACCACATCCCTTACCAAAATGTAGAGATCTCTATCGAATAACTTGTCAATGTGAAAGGATAAAAAGTTCCAGAATCAGTTTTTTGTCGGCCTAGGACATTTTTCTCTTTCTGTCTCCTCACCACTGCCATGTTGGGTGACTGGGCTGCTTCCAAACCATTGTTTTTTCCAGGAAACTGAATGATCCTTCCATTATCACTCCATTTTCCCGGGATGACCGGGGATACACACCACTTCACATAGCTGCTATTTGTGGTGAGTGGTGTTGGTTCTCCTCACTAGTGTTTACTATTCCTTGTGTTTCTTTATGTCAGCATGTTTTCCAACTTTACAATTAAAATTGGAACATTGCATTAAATTGGTTTTTTGCTTCTTTTCTATTGAAACAGTTATCTGGGCACAGACTAAAGTTATTGTATATTCTTTTAAGCTCAGTTTCTTATGGCTATTTTATATTATTCTTTATTTGCTGGCTGTTTACTTTTGCTGTAGTGGTTACCACAGTAATGCTTTCTTCAGCTCTGAAAAAGGTATAAATGTGAAATCAGAAACCAGTCTTGTTTTAAAGAACTGGCAGATTGAGAAATGAATCTTTTATCTCTCCTGCAGCTGGCTATGCATGCTAGATCTGTAACATCTGTATTTTAACGTTCATTGTATCATTGATCTTTTATTAAAAGATGTATTATTTTCTTAGTGGGTTTTTTTAATAAATAATTTCCTCTTTTGTTATTATATTGAATCCAAATAGTTTGTTAGTCATAGGGTAAAAGTGTAGCTTGCTTTTACCTAGAGGTTCTTTTCATGACCTTGAGTAATCTGCAACAAAAAAAACCCAAAAAAACCAAACAAAACAAAAACCAAGGAAATTAATATAGAATATATAGAAACATAGTATGCAGAAATGCAGGGTATCTTGTTTTATAGTTCCTGCTTGAATTTGAAAATTAGCAATGTTCTTGGGCAAAGTTTACTTATTTTTTTTTTTAATATCTGCTTGTTTTCCAAGGGCAAACATCACTAGTAGATTTACTGGTAGCCAAAGGAGCCATTGTCAATGCTACAGATTACCATGGTTCTACTCCACTTCACCTTGCCTGTCAGAAGGGATATCAAAATGTTACAGTAAGCACCAACACCTAACTAAATAATAAATAAATGACTCTTACTGAGCTGTTTTACTGTTACTGTCATTTAGGTCTTCTGAGAAGCTTTTACCAGAACTGTGCAGTGTCAGAATTGAGGATCTTTTATCATTGTAGTTTGCAAGATATTTTATTTTGTTCTTATGCTGCACAGGTAATAACCAAGCAGTTGACAGCTATGCATGCCTGATAATTCATCCATTTTGTTAATACAAATGTCCAATATGTGGTACAAATGGAGAGCTCTTGATTGAGACAGAAGAACCATTGCAGCCACTGGAATGAGTGAAATTACTTCACTCTGTGTTTGATAGACTGTGTAACTCCAGTAATTATTGTCTGCTTGAATTTTACATATGTGATACTCTTCAATTAGCATCGTTGAAATTAAGCTGTGTCTTCACTTGCATAGGCCCTTAAAATATAATAGTACATGTCTTGCAGTGTTTACTGCAGTAGAGAATTCATTTTTTTCAGTGGCAATTCTGAAAATGTAAGAAGTGGCTTTTATTTGGTTCTCAGGGTGGGGCACAAACAGTGCTGCAGTGCCAAGAGGGTGGTGTCTGAAGCAGGAGGCACAGGGTTTCATGAAGTGCTTCATCATGGTAGAACCCTGAAGGAATCTGCAGAGCAATAATTGTTTTTCCATTAATTTTTTAGTTACTTAAATGTCTACTTCTGTTTTTCTTTTAAGCTGCTCTTATTGCACTATAAGGGAAGTACTGATGTTCAGGACAATAATGGAAATACTCCACTTCATTTAGCCTGCACTTACGGTCATGAGGATGTAAGTAATTGTTTGGTAACAAACTAAATGGACATTCTAATGGAATGGAATTAAGCAGTGATGCAAATTTGCACTAAACTTACATATTTCAAAAGTAAATAAAAAGATTTGGAGGCCAAACTATTTAATACGCTAAATCAGGACTTTATTTGGTAGCTCATGGCAATTTCTATTAAGAATTCATATTAAAGATAGTACAGTGCAAATTTAGTTGAGTTATTTAACTCTTTATTTAATGACACTGAACCATTTAAGCCTTCTCTTTAGACACTGAATTATATGAGCAGCAGTGAAAGAAAGCTTTTTAGGATATATGAGCAGCAATGAAAGCAAGCTTAGGATGTTATCTGAATTGAGAGATAACACCATGATTTATTGATAGCTTTCCTTTTCTTTCCAGTGTGTCAAAGCTTTAGTCTACTATGATGTGCATTCCTGCCGACTAGATATTGGCAATGAGAAGGGAGACACTCCTCTCCATATTGCTGCTCGCTGGGGCTATCAAGGGATCATAGAAGTGCTTTTGCAAAATGGGGCAAATCCAGAAATTCAAAACCGGATGAAGGAGACTTCCCTACAGTGTGCATTAAATTCCAAGGTATTCCTCTTTATCTTCTGGCCTGAATCCTGTCTGATGCAAAGCCACAGGGTGTAGATGCTCACCTGCTAATAGGGTTTCACAATAAAAGTGAAAATGTGTGTTTCACTTGGAAGGAGGGTCACATTTTAACTCCAGTAGCAGGAATACAGTCTGTGGGATAGAACATGAACTTGTAAACGGGTACTTTTAATCTGCTCAGTCATAATCTGTTACTAATATTAACTTGTCACCTAACTTGTGTTTCAGTCACTGGATTCTTCTTCAAGTGGAGTTACACTGATTTTCTTTAATATTTTTATGCAGATTTTGTCACTGATGGAATTAAACTATCTAACGTTTGAAAGAGGACAAAGTGCTTCTGAGGTAACAACCAAAGCAAATTGCTAAATTTTTTTTGCCTGTTTTTAACTTCCTTAAATTGATATGTAACTTTGTTTGTTTGTTTGAATTTTGTTTGTTTTTCCAACTGCAAGTCACCACTTAGGTCTCCTCAGCTCTCAACAGAGACTTTCAGCAGAGGATCATCTGTCTCAAGCCTGTCCTCAGCATCAACCGATATAAGGCAAGAAGAAGTAAAAAATAGTTACAAAGAGGTAAGACTGAGGTGTAAGTTTTGACAATAAGCAAAGTGAAGGAAGGTAGAAGAGTGATATTTCGCCCCAGTTTTAAACTGGTTCTTCAGGAATAGCCTTCTGTCTGGTTTGGAAAATTACATGCTGCTGACCTCAGGGGCTTCTCATCTCAGTACCTGAGCACTTATTTTTTATGGTATCAACTGCTCTGTTGGTTGTTGCTGGGGAAAAATTGAAAGCATATTTGCAGTGGTTGTTCAGATTCACTGAAGTTAACGATGTAACTGGAGAATTTGCTCAGGTTTACAACAGTACAGTGCCCCAAGGACCTTTCCAGGAAATAGATGCTATTGTTAGCTTACAAAATCTGTCAGGGAAAAGAGAGTAGTACAGGCACACTGGCAAACAACAAACTGGAATGTTAAGACAAGCTTTCAAGATAGGCACAGGAATCAGTTTTGTAACAAGTGAAGAATACAGAGTATATATAAAATATCTTACATTTATGTGTTCACTATTTTTGCTCTATCCACACCATCCAAGATGCCATCCTCTGAATCTTTTCATGTGGGACCTCAGGTCCATACTTCCCATTTATCCCCTCCTAAGACAGTCATATCATCATTCATTCTGATGCTTCTCTTTATTTTTTCCATAGTCCTCCTATGCAATTTTTTCCAAATTGACCTCCTTAGTATGTTTGTTTCTCTTCATCTCACCTCTACATTCAGATTCTTTCTTTCCTGCTGTTAAAAGGCTCTTGCCAAAAGTTTCAGTTTGCTAAAAACACTGAAGAAACACAGAGATGTAAATTTTGACTGGACAATATTACTTCCCACTTCAGTTGGTCAATGAGACGCTCAGTGTAGGAATGTACCTCCCTGTTTGTACAGAGTCAAGGACTCTAAGTGAATAGATTGAGGATTTATTTTTCCTTAAAGGAACAAATTTATGACACTCAAGAGCTAAGACTGTAGTTCAAACCAGGGAAAAAGATTACAGGCAGCTTACACCTGAGGTCCTTGGGGTTAATGACCTTCTCCTGTAATCCAGCTTTAGTTCATTTCTGTCTGCCAAGTTTCACGTGGGCTCACTGCTTTTATTCTTAGTAACCAAAGAGGCAAGAGCCTGATCCTGGGAGAGCTCCATGAGGGGAATGCTACTGGAAATAATGGAAAGCTGATATGGTCAGTTTTCCAGATTTCCAGGTTCACACCAGGGATTAAGGGGATCCAGTTAGACCTTTATTATCAGTACTGAAGCAAACTATTCACTTAAATGAGCTAGTCATGGTGGTTTGCTTATGACTTGGAAAAGAGAGAGTAAAAGAGCCAGGACTGTAAACTGGGACTTGCTCTGTTGGAACTAGTAAGTCCTTGCACAATTTCTGTTCAGCAGCTGAAAAACTGGGCATGCAAGTGAATTGTAGTAGATTTGTTTCATCTATTTTTACATTTAAAGGAAGGTACTTCTGTTCCATGGAGGAATGAGAAAACAAACTGGAAAGATGGGGAAATGCATGTAGCAGACATTTTGCATTAAGTGCTCTTAATAAATTATCTATAAGCTGCATAACAGATATTGTACCACTGCTGGGGCCTGAGGCAGTTTTTAGAACTGTAAGGAAGTTGTTATTTCTGGAAAGAAATTATCAGAGCTTGTGGATCACTGGCTATTACTCTTTGGCATCTTGTATGTGTTAAAACGGACTCCTGAAAATCTTTATTCTCCATAACCCTGTATGTTATGAGGAAATTTACAGGAGGCACAGATCTCCCTAGTTTATATAGTCCATTTTAGATTGGGATTCAGCTCACCCACCTTCAGATGACTGGAAGATGGTTGTCTTAACTTCAGATATCTATTTTTCCCTCCTTAGTCAGTGGAAGGAAACTGGTACCTCCAGAGAGGAATTAACCTCAGACATGCTTAGTCTGACCTGAATTGCAGTCAAGTGTTCTTTGTCAACTGCATTCTGTTCTGTAGGTACCAGAGGGGGAGTTTAAATGACTGGCTTAGATTTAGACATTCAAAGGTAGGAAAGAAACATCAAAGAATTGTAGATTCTGCCTTGAGTGGCTGGTGCATGATTTCAAGGACCTTCATCCTGTATTAGAAAGATAGTAATAAAATAAAACTTCACATCTTTCCTTAAAGGAGATAAAAATAGAGAAATTAAATCTAGCCTCTGATCTTTGAGCTGTTTGTGTCCTGTTTGAGCTGTTTGTGTCTGAGATCAGACCAGTCAAACACAAACTTCAGCCTCATTCTTCCTCGTTTGCCTTGCCAAACACCGCTGTCACACTCAGCAAGGTGGTCATTTCTAGATAAAGACTGAAATGTGACTGTAGCTGTCACTCTGTGGTATCTTCCACTCGAAAGATGTTTCTTAATATTGAAACAACTTTGTTAACACAGCAGCATCTTTGGTGATTCTAGCACAGTGCTGGAATAATTTGCTATAATGCTGAAACAGACTTTCACAAAGCTTATTAAATGATTCTTCAGCAATCTGCAGAGGCCGGGTGAGGTACCCAGTGACAGGACTAATGGACTCTCCCTGCCCTCTTGCTGGCACCTTTCCCATTCCTATCAGGTCAGATCTCCGCTCCTTCACGGGAGAGTAGGCAATCAGAGAGGTGGGGAGACAAGTGCATCTCCTTGTCCTGCTTTCACAAGCAGTGCAAGGGCTCAGGGGAGTGGCATCAGTGCACTGCAGAGCTCCTGAGTAGGAGAGGACCTTCCCCAAGCAGCCCTGCTCAGGCATTATCTCACTTGAGCATACACGTATTTAGTTGATCTAACGCTGGTCCCCTGCAACAACTCTCTGAGCTGGAGACCTGGCTTTTGCTAATGCACACCCTTTGATATTTATATCTTTTCAGATTTTAAGTAAGAAAACAATTCCATACTTACAGTGAAGTTAGGTTTGTACGTGTTTGGTTTTTAGCATAGGAATAAACCAGCAATCTGCACATGTGAAGGGAACAATTGGAAAGAAACTTTTTCAGCTCAAACTGCTGAAATGTTTCTCAAATAGCACAGTAAACCCTGCCACCCTTTGTGCTTCTGGTAGCTTAGAGTAGCTCAGCAAGAGTCCAAAACAGTATTAGTGTTTGTTAGGGTAGAAATTTGTCTTGACCAGGGGTTTTTAATGTTAGGTTCACTGCAGAAATGTATGGGGCAGCTGCTGCTGAACCAGCATAATAATACATATCAGCTTATGTTGCTTTGTTTGTGTGTGGGTCACATATACTCAATTTAGATAAGTACTGGTCACCTTTAACTAAGCAAGTCAGAGATCATCAGATGGCCACAGGCCTTGTACAGCTTTTGTATTTCATAAAGGAAGGTTTTTCCCTTAAAACTTTATCAATAAATATGAAATGGGCCAGCAGTAATCCTGCTGCGTGAGCTTAGGAGGTTAGCAAAGGACACAGGATTTTCTGTGTACTGCTTAATATCAATACTAACAAAACAAATAAGTTATTTTCTTCATACATAGGTGGAAAAACTCCTGAGAGCAGTTGCTGATGGAGATCTGGAAATGGTGAGTCTTAGCATGGTTGTTGAATATTATTGAATTCTAATTTGTCTCATTCCAATTGAGGAAGCTATTTGTATATAATATAAAGTGAAGAATGCTTTGGGTAATACCTTCCTTCAGCAACTACTTATCAAATTCAGCTCATTTTCCAGAAAAAGTATTCATTCCATGTCCCCAAATTATTTTACCTGCAGTGCTTTAGGGCCAATTATTTTGATATTTCCATGACCTCTTGCACTAAAGAAATTACTTTAAATTGAATAATTCCTTTGTGAAAGCCTGTAATTTAAAAATGTATGCACAGTCACCTCCAGGAGATGTAAAGGACTTGGGAAGAACAACACTCAGGGCAGGCATGTTGAAATACTGTGGGAAAGATCAGTTTATCTGCTTGCAGGTGCTCAAGGTGCTCTCTTAAATGCCATTGTAGATGGGGGTATGGTGCATTGCAGGGCACTGCTGAGGTCAGTGTTGGACTGGATATGCAGTCAAAGAAAACAAAAAAAGAAGGCAAAAAGAGGAGCTTTCAGGTAAACCTAATTTTTGACAGCCAATCCAACAGAAAATATTATTCCCAGTTCCTTGTTTCTGTGCCAGTTCTGGATATTGAATGGTGGGATTTTCAATTTGTGTTTGACTTGGGAAGCATTCCAGTAATATAGTGGTTTTTAATCCACAAATACTTTTTGGTTCCTAAATTTCCAGGTTCTCTAATGCTTTAAATATTGCCTACTCTCTGTTGTATGTTTAGTGCCTATAGTAATGGTGGATAGGTGCTGTAAACGAGAAATGGGCTCTTATTTTGTTTGTTGAGGTCTGTCTCCACAGGAGCAGACCCAGCAGCAGGATCATAAGGGTTGTAGATTTTTACTGTGACAGCCAACTGAGCTTTGCAAGAGGAGGCATTAAAAAAAGTGCTATGAAACTGGAAGACTAAAAAAAAATACTATGATGTGATTGTTCAGGAAGCCAGAAAACAACCTTTGTCATCACCATAGAGCCTGCAAACTTGGAAAGCAAATATGCTTTATATTGGGGAATGGTTTGGGTTGGCAGGGACCTTAAAGATGATCTTGTTCCAAGCCCTCTGCTGAAGGCAGGGACCTGTGGCTCTGTCAGTGAAGTGTGGTGGAGGAGTGTTTGATCCTGCTCAACATCAATTTTCAGTCTTTCCTTCTCAGTGATTGGTTTGGTGGTCAGGTGTCCACCATGGCTCCATAGTGACGGGTGAACTATTCAGCTTTCCACAGAGATACTTAGATTTAAACAAAAAAAGCAAATAAAAAAGCCCCTTTTATTATTAGGGTGGGATAACAGAACAGACCTGGGAGGTTACAGAGCCTCTTCTGTCAGAAGTATCTGAGCAGAGATTGCTCAAACTTCTGTCCATGATATCAGGGAAGAATTGACATTGTCTCAGCATAGATACTGGATTTGGTGCTCTTCTGAAATTCCTTCTACCCAGCATAACCAGTGGAATGGATATGTGCAAATCCACCACAAAAAAAAAGCAAATATCTTGTCTAACATAGATCTTGTGGAGCAGCTCAAGGGCTGGCATACAGGGTACAGAGCCCCCAGAATGCTTGGCTGAGCTTCCAGGGAGTGTGTTACTCTGCAATGGAAAGAATGTTTCAGGTGACAAATTACCTGGGAAATGGAGATTATGGACAGCTTCCTGAGCTGGTTCAGTGTGTGTCTGCTCGAGAGTACAATTAATATTTTGGCCAAAAAACCCTTTAAATTAACAAAAACAGCTGTTCTACTGTAGTTATACAGAGGTGTGCATGGGAGTTCTGAGTTTGGGTTTTTGTGAGCCACTGGTATCAGCATGTTGAGAGCTGGGTACTGGATAATGAGAGCAACAGTACTGAGCTGTGGCAGGAGGAGGAGGAATTCAGTTGTGAGGGTCTTGGTCAGTGTGCAGGGAAAGGGGGAAGTGAAGTGACAGCACTATTTATTTTAGAAGTAGTAAAGCTTCACTAGGCTGGCCTTCCATAAACAGGCAAGCTTGAGAGAAGATTACTTTTTACTTCAGGAGATAACGTGGAATTTGCAGGGAAAGCAATATTCTCTGTGGAAAAACATCCTTTTTCTGTCTCAATTATGTTGTCATTCAGAATCGGGTATTTGGCCCTTACTAGTTGTCCTAGGATTTGTTCTAGCTGCATGTGTTTAATTGGATAGATTATTAATATGTTGGAGCACAACCTGCTGACAAGTGTGAGAGTAAATAGAGTGGGAGGAACCTGCAGGAAATTTTGTTGTCCCCATTCTCTTCTTGACTATGAACCATAGAGCTCTTGGCTTGGCCCAGGTCTGTGACACAAAGCCCAGCCCACAACTCCAGCAAAGCTGCCTCTGTCTCAGCTCCAGCAGGAAGGGGTTCCTCGATTTTGCTGTCACTGTTCAGTAGGGAGGCAAAGGGCCAATCTTCCTTCACGGTAACAAGGCAATGATACATCTTTTCACAGCTCTCTTAAAAGCTGCTAAAAAGAAAAAAAAAGAGTAAAAGGAAAGCCCTTCACCAGATGACATGCTTCACACCCACTCTGTAATCCTGTTGCTCACTGTGTTTGGGAACTTCCCAGAGGATCTGTAGGAGCTCTGGGAGATCTCACCAAAACACAGGAGTGACCTGATCTTTCTTGTGCCGTGATGTTAGTCCTTGGCATGCACTTAGGCAAAGGTGACTGTTGATGGACTGTCCCTTGCATTAAGAGACCAACTGAATTCCCACTTCTCTCTTGAGTTCCTGAAACACTCGTCCCATTGAGCTTGCAAACTCAGAATGATGCACTAGGTAGGTGTCAGGCTTGACATTGCCAGGTGGTGTAATAACGGAGACAATACAGTCACTGCTAATTGTGGGATGTCTTAGTGAACAGTAGATTAATGCATTTCAAGGTAAAAATGTATTTCATAAACAGCTATTTTTTTGTTGTTGCCTAAAATGTAATGTAAAATTAACATGCAGTAATCATCACTGCTTGCAAATTGCACATGAATGCTCTGAGTCCTGAGACTGTCTTCACTGAAGGGCCTTTCCCTCAAACATGAGGCATTGCACATGGAGGAAAAACTGTCCAGCTCCTGGGAATTCACAGACCTAAGAAAAGTCAATGCCCCTGCAAAGTTTTGGGTGTCAGTTACATGTTGTCATCCTTGTCATTTATGTTCTTTAAAGCAAAAGATGAAACAAAATTCACATTGATATGAAATGGCACAAATCATCTGAGCTAAAAGGATTTGGAGGGTTTGAGAATGGGTGAACAATGAAACTGTGATTAGGCAGCAGGAAGTCATTTATAATTCACTTCACTGCTGTACTTGGAGAACTTTCTAACTGCTTTGTCAAAGTAACATTTGATTTAATTTGGCCTGTGGACAGCTGATGCCAGGAGATGGTTGTATAATCTCCCTCAGAGATTCATGAGTGTATATTTGTGAAATCTTACTTATCTACATATACAGATTTATTAGGACATGGAATCTTTGGACCCTATAAAGAAGGACTTATTTTTTATACCAGGTACGTTATCTCCTGGAATGGGTGGAAGAAGACCTGGAAGATGAGGATGACACAGCCAGTACCTCAAAGCCAGAATTCTGCCATCCATTGTGCCAGTGCTCAAAATGTGGGCCAGCACAAAAGGTTGGAATATTCATTCAGTAAAAAGAATAGTTTATATCCTTTTAATGTAAATTTTAGCTCCAGGGAAATAGAGTTCCTATGGCCCAGCACCTCTGTATCTCTATCTAAAAAGGAATTAACTATACACAGATCGGCACAGTTCATCTGATGCTGTGAAATTGTTCCTTTTTTTAATTGCACTGTTGAAAATTTTGGATACAGGAACAGTATTCAAAGACTTGCTTGATACCTAATGGAGTGGGAAAGCTTAACAGTTCGCTTGTAGAATATGTGGGCAACTTTGAATAATAATACTTTTCTAAGGCTCTGGTTCTTTTTTGTAGTTTACATTGCTAACTGTCACAGTACTTACCTTGGTAATCAGTTTAGCAAGGAATACCTGCTAATCCTGTAATCAATGTAATGCTGATAAAGTCTTTTTAATTGCGTGACATCTTTCCTACAGGCTACATCTAAAACCTCTTCAGAGATTAAATGTAATTACAAAGACTTTGTTTTCAGTTGCAAATATTTCCTTCCCCCTCATTTATCACGAACTGTAGAAGACAATCAGGCTTTACAATACACTCTCTTCTTTTTTTTTTTTTTGATAAGGAATGATCCCAACTTCTTGGAAGTAGAAGACCAATTACTTGCTTCACATTCACACTGTGCTTTAGTCTCTGGTAATGGGTGTCCATGTGCCCTCAGTACTGAGATCATGTGGTAAAGATGCCAGAGCCAGAGACCATAAAGCTCATTTTATTGCTGGCATCTGCTGTGGAATTTACTTGCCTGCTGAATGAGGAGAAGAAGGAACTTGTTAACTAATCATAACCCCTGTGTTAGGCAGCACACACATAGAAAAGCACACTGGGGACAGGCAGAATGGCTGTCCAGCACTGTAAATGTCAGGCACCCACAGTTTGAGAGAGGAGTGAAAGAAGGTGTTCTGTACTGCTGTGTAAGCTATCCTGTAGGTAGTTTCCTTATTTTGGCTCCCTGTGGGAATCTGCTCTCTGGGCCAGTATTACTTCCAGATGAGTAGAATTAATGTTAGTTTTTATCCTTATTACCTCAAGCTTCACATAGCAGTAAAACAAATGTGTAGTGTCTGTCTTGAATAGCATAAATGTCTGTATAAATAAAAGTAACTCATTAAAACTGACTAATATCCAGTATGAGCATCCTAACAGCTGTGTAAAGACTTTAAAGTTTTACTTCCATCTCAACCTGTGCTGCTTTAGTCTCTTTTTAATATCATGAATACTTTACCTGGAGTTTCTGTCTATGAAGTTATCGTGTTGGAAGAAAAGAGAGAACAATAACATTGTTCTGTCCAAAAATACCACCCAGCTGCTCTGGTTTGCTGACTTTCCCTGGAGTCCCCAAGTTAGGCTCTGTAGCAGAAGTTGTTGTAATATCCATCTACCTGGTTTGTGTAAATCTACCCGGTATTTGGCTGCTCTTTGGTTAACAGAAAGCAGCATGATTGTTTTCATAGTTTTGTGGTGTCTTTTCCTCAACAGAAATTTTCAAGGGTCTCTGCCAACGGGCTGGGAGTCAACGTTTCCAACCAGGACGGTTTCACCCCGCTGCACATGGCAGCGCTGCACGGGCGCTCCGAGCTCGTCTCGCTCCTGCTGAAACACGGGGCCAGTGTCAGTGCCAAGAACGCAAAACACGCAGCTCCTCTTCACCTGGCCTGCCAGAAAGGGCACTTCCAGGTAACTCATCCTCTTCATAAAGCTGTTTGACCCTTGGCCACCAACAAAAAGGCTACTGTGGGAAATTATCAACAAGACTAAAACAGTAACAGAGAAAATTAGTTCGGTGATTCTGCTTTTTATTTCAGTGTCTAAAATCTCCAGATGGAAAGGGGATTTTTGAGCTGAAACTGTTTCAGTAGACACCTTTTCTTTCTGAATGATCTGAAATACTGGTTTAATGCAAGTGCTGCCAACAGCTACTGTCGTACTCCAGACACTTCAAAAATGCCTTGTGCAGATGAATCTTCCTATGTATGTTCCTCTATATTTTCTCTTCAAGGAGGTTACGTGCACCTCTTGGTATCTTCAGTAGCCACAGTATTAAATATTTGCTGTGTTTTCAACTCATGAGCCAGTTGGAGCTCTGAGGGTAGCAGATATACCCTACCCTCAGTGAGGGACGAGGTTTAATACAGGAGGAAGAGTAAATGAGAGGGGAAAAATAACAATCATGAAAAAGCAGGGGCAGACAAGCAAATGGGAAGATACAGAAAAGTGGAAAACTAGGGTTATAAGAATAAGGAGCTGAGGACTGCAGGAGGGAAAAAGAACTGTGAAGATGATGGGAAGACAAAGCACTAGGGAAGCAGGAAAATACAAGAATATAACTTGCACTTGTAGGTTAATGAAAGTTAGTTCATGGGAGATTTACCACATAAAGAACTCCTTCCAAGTGTTCTTATAAGTTGGGAAAAGTCTGATGGGTATTGCTGCTGTGGTGGTTTGGTTTTGATCTTTGGTTATGTATATTTTCCACATACCTCGAGTTTTATTTTCTATCCTTTCTTGCAGTTGCTTTAAGTTTTTATTTTTTTTAAAGTGTCTTTCATTTTAAAATATGAAAATTAGTCTGATAGGAAGAGTTGTTTGTGGTTGTCATCTCTTTGGCAAATGTGACACTTGTTTTCTCCATCCTTTTTTCTTCCATCCCTTTCTCAATATAGATTTCAAAACAGTGGTTAAAAAAAATAGGGGGGGGGCTTTCACTGCATGATTGTGGTGCTGGTATCTTAAATTAAAAAGTTATTTCTTTCCATAGGTGGTAAAATGTCTGATGGATTACAATGCTAAACAAAATAAAAAGGATATATATGGAAATACTCCTTTAATTTATGCATGCTTGAATGGTCACTATGAGACTACTGCCCTGTTGATACAGGTAACATCACTGAAAACAGAATGTTCAGAGTGGTATTTCTTATGTGGTATCTGTGCTTACCCACTACTCAGGATCAGTATTTTTAGTTCAATATTTCTCTGTCAAAACTACTCAGGGGAAAAAAGAAAGAGGGTTTGTTAACTCGCTCTTTCCAATGCCTCTCCTTCACAGATTTTAATTACGTAAATATTTTGTTACTATTGTACAGTTAGCTGTTTTTATGGAACTTTTATGTGGCAGGTTTTTTGGCTTATGATTCTGTACCAAAGGGGTTTTTATTGTGATTTTGGGTTTTTGTTTTAAAATATCTCCTAAACTTGGACTATATTGTAGATATATGCAAAAATGAAATGAGCTGATCCAGGAAATTGTGGCTATGAGAGAGGAGGAAATAATATGATCAGGTGGCTTATGGTGACTGCAGAGGCCTCTGCTGCCTTGTCCTTGCTCCTGCATGGGAAAGGAGAGGAAAGCAGAATAATGTGCCATCTCCAGTCCGTGCTGCCCTGCCTTTGTAACCGGGATTTCGTTTTGCTGTCCATCCAGCGTGGAGCCTCTGTGAACCTTTCCAATGCCAAGGGCAACACAGCCCTGCACGAGGCCGTGGCGGGGAGGAACGAGGCCCTGGTGGATCTGCTCCTGCAGAGCGGGGCCCTGACGCACCTGAGGAACGACAGGAGCTGCACCCCTGCAGACTGCGCTGAGCCCGTGAGTGCAGCCACCCCTGTTCCCAAAGTTCCACGTGCACAGCGGGGGAAGGGCAGCAAATAGAAATGTTTGTCAGGACAGTGTCTGCCAGACTTCTGTGTTTAACAGTCACGTGTGATACAAAGACTCGAGATGCCTGTTTATTGCACAGCGTACAGGTGATCCTAAGAAACCTGTTGTGTTTCTAAAATAAGACAAAAAGGATGAGTCTCGAAAGAGTGAAAGCACATATGAAAATAAAAATGACATTAAAATTATGTAATGGCAGAGAGAGCAGAAGAAATGCTGGCAAATGAACACCTTTCACTGATCAGTTGCACTGCCAGCAATCTTCCTTTTTGCACCCACCACCTTCTGCCCTTCAAGCCTTTTCATACCTTTTATCTTGCAATAGAGGACTGTGAGCTTCCCCTTTATTAATAGCAATAATATTCTCATTCTATCTAATATTAAATGATACAGAATTTTTTTCATCCTTAAAGGATTTGATGCATAGTCCCTCTCTTTATATGCTTAAATAGCCTGAGATGTAGCATAATGACCACAGAATTCTGTACTGAATCAATTTTAGTATGTATATGACCATTTGAACTGAAATTAGCTTAACCATAAATTATATAGTTTAAAATAAGAGGTCAAGGCTACTAAACCATTGCTCTGCTACAGTGCAACTTGTGGAACACTGATTTTGCCCCTACTCAAAATGATACAATTTCAGGTTTATGTTTATAATGAGATATTTCGCGTGTGTTGCATTCATTTTGGCAGCAATTAATTGACACACTCTGCACAGACTAAAATCCTAAATTGTGCTGATGTTTTTCTTTAATAATGGTGAAAAATATGAAAACTCTTAAAATGAAGAACTCAAATATCCTTAAGTTACTGGAAGCAGCAGCAAGCTCTGTACCCACATCAGCAGAAGGAGAGAAGGAGAGTGAGCAGCGTGCTACTGTCAAGATAAGGAGAAAAGGTATCTGTCATATTTCCACTGGTATGAATAAAAAGGGATTTAGGAATTCATATGCAAATACATCAAATATTTAATGTAATTGATTTACATATAATTAAAGAACTGTCAATCATTTTGCATATTTATGATAGGTAACACTTCGAATACTGTAATTGCAGCAGACTTTGTGTTATATTCATGACATTGCTTTTGCTGGTCACAAGTGTTTCAGGGGCATTTTGAAGCTGGTGGAGTTCACAAAGCTGGGGCAAGGGACATAACAGGTTCTGTGCTGAGCCAGGGAGACAGAGGACAGGGAGGCTGCAGAGCAGGAATTGAGGGAGATGAGGAGCAGGAGTGCCCATTTCAGTGTCCATGAGTTTTCAAAATAACTCTTGCATTCCACCCTCAGAAAGATTGTGAATGTCTGGTTAATGGAAAGCCACGATTAATCACACAGTGTGCTGATGCCTAAAATTGAGATAGTTCTTTCAAATATTATGGAAATAGTTCTAAAACAACAATTGAAGATATTTTTGGCATCTGTGTGTTAATTAATTCAGTTTTGTAAAAATTACACAGTCTCTGCAGAAGCCTGGCCAGTCATGCTAATCTGATGAGGAATGTTTACTCCTGTGAATTAAAATGCTTTAAAATTTCCAAAGACAAGTTGCCACTCTGATTGAAGTTAGTACACTTATAGTTCTACTGTAAAATTTAGAATCTAATGCCAGTAGATAACACTTTTCATTCAGAACTGTTTTTTAATTCCTAAGTGTGACTCAGTTGTAATTTTAGCTGCCTGTTCTTTTAAACCCGCAGTGCATTCTAAGTCCTGTGAGAAAGCCGATGATCCCGTAAGCAGACAACTTCAACTGGTCCAATCAATTAACAGATTTAACAAGTAAGCAGAGGAGCTTCCTCAGAGTATGTTTGTTGTTTCCCATACATGAACAAGAAATACAGCTGCTAATAAAGCCCAGAGAGGGTCAGTCATGGTTACACATCTCATGCTGGTGTGACAGTGGATGTTAATCCCCTAACGCTTGCACGTTCACATCCCCAGGCAGATGTTCTGTGCGCGAAATGCTCACTGGGGTGGTGAAGGAGCACTTGTAAATGTATTTAAAATGTATTTAAAATTGGGTCTGCACTAATACTTGGTGTACCATCATTTAAGGGTTTCAGAGCCAGACAGCTTAAAAAATGCAGTGTTCAGTCATTGGTTGGGGTTTGCCTATTATATTTTTTAATGTTAATGTTTATTCTGTAGTAAAATACAGGGAAGGTGGTGTCAGGGAGCAGCCTGTCTCTGGTGAGAGGGTTCCACCTTGTGGAGCTTCTGTGATAGAGGCTTTTATGAAAGCCTTATATAAAGACATTTAATCTCTCTCATTTCTTTAAAATCTTCCTTAGAGAGAAACATTTACGGAGAACAATAACAAGAGATAAAAGTGTCCCTAATTTTGACTATCAGTTACTGCACCAGGTAAGTGGAAATACTTGCTTGAATTATTTGTATAATATACCAAATATGTTTGTTTTCTATTGCTATGGGTACATACAAGAGGAAAGTTTCTTTACTTGTGATGGGTGTTGAATCACTTGACCTGTTTGCCAAATTGCTGCTGGTTGTTGTTCAAACTTCAGTGGGGCTTCAATAACATCTCTTAAACACCTTACTCTTACTTTTAAACCTCCTAAGCCTCTTAGTTTTCTGTGTCATTGCATCAAAACCTAGGACTGAAAAACTGTGCAGTTTTAGGGGCTGTAGCCAAGCAGGGATTCTTTGCCAAGAGACACATTTTTCAGTAGATTAAAATTAGGGCTTGCATTAAGAGGAGGAGACTGCTTGCAAGGCTGACAGCAAAGTGCACGTTGCATTGTCAGCTGTGACACAAATGTATGTGATAGATCCATCTCTGCCTGGGTGTGTGGTGGCACCCCACACCAACCCAAATGCTGGATGCTGCCCTTCACCCAGAGCATGTGCTCCCTCCTCCTCCTTACGCTGCCTTTGGCTCTTGTTGCACCTTCTGCTGAGCCATGTCAGCACTTTAATCAAGAGGAAAACTAACCTGTCCAAAACAAAGCGGGTTTGACCAGGTTAGTCCAGCAGCTGCCCATCATTAGACTGACACAGTCCTGGAAATGCAGACTGTGCTGCTCATATCCATCTAGAAAATGGGATAGTGTTCTATTTCATAGAGCCCTTAGGAGACTGAACATTTGCAGAGAGCCTTGAGAACACCAAATTAATGCTATAAAGGTGTAATGTTTTATTAATTCTTGTATTAATGATAATAGTCCACTACTTAATTAAACATGGGGTTTAGATTTTATAACTGTGGCTCACTGAATGCAGTGTCATGTCACTGCACAGATGTCAAAGAACTAATATGTGACCATGATACACAGCTCTTCAGCGTGTGCTGGGGTGAGTTCATCCAGCTGTGGCTGGACAATGAATTCACAAGTCACACAGCTCTCAATTGTGCCAGTAATCAAGGAGAGCCACCCACTTTGTAAAGGAAAAATCAGGAGTAGATGTGGAAATGGAAGCTACAATAGTTGAGTGACTAAAAAGAGGCATTAAGGGAGAGGGGAAAGTGTGGTTGTGTCTTCCCTCACAGGTAACAACTGGAAACAGGGAAATTTTGCCTTTACCTTCAGCAGTGCCTGGTTGACCATGTCTGTATTGCTACTTCCATAATAGTAAAAGACAAGGCTGTTAATTTCAGGTACCTTGAGCCTTGCATTACAAAAGGTGTTTAGAAGAGTTAGGATGATATTGGGATACTGCAGTGAAAATAAGTTTTGGAATGGCTGTTATGTTTCCAGTTCTTGTACTGATGTGGCCTCTTATTTTCTCATATATAGCCTAAGTAAAATTACTCTCCTACAGAGTCTGCCATTTTTAATCCTTTGCTGTGTTCTCAGTATGAAGAATACCATGCAATTGATGTGATAATTATAACACCATATTTATTTCAACTTCTTTCAATGAAGAAAGTAGATAATGCTCTTAACGTCCCCTTCCTCTCTCCTCACAGATGGCTATTAAAAGCTTTGACAAAACCAAGTTAAAGTCTGTGGGAACGCTGGCCCAGAGCACAGTTCAGGGTATGGACACGGGAAGCAGTGGTGAGTTTGTGGAACAGGATGACACGATGGAAGTTCCTCACAGGAGCCAGTTAATGCAGCGGAGACACACAGTTAACGTGCCCCTTCCAGCAGAGGATGGCAGTGACAGTGGTTCATCCAGCCCTGGAAGTCTGGGTGTTTCACAGTCACAAGACTGCTGTGAGGACTCCATTTCAGATCACTGAATTTGATGCCAAAAGCTGAGGAACTCGGTGGTGTGAATTTTGGTAACCCTTCACTGTATGTCATCAGTGCCACGTGCAGGCCTGTGCTCGGAGCAGAGGACAGGACAGCTCTGCAGCACAAATGAATGTTTCAGCACTTTGAAGAATGACTCCTGTTTATGGTGGAGGTAACACAGCCAGATCATTACTGATCTCACAGACAGGGACGTACCAAGATGTAGACAGCAGAATTACTTTCCTATCCTACTTAGCACTTAACTAAAAAATTCTATGTAACAGGAAACCAAATGAAACCCTGTATTGTATTTTTCAGCCACCCACTTTGTTTTAAAAGTCTTTGAATAATTTTTGCATTTTCAGTTTTTATCACTACACTGAGAATATATTTATATATATATGAAAAGATATATTGGATAACAAGGTATTTATTGCCAGAGATAACTGAAATGTCTCTATTTTTATTGTAATGTTACAAACCGTTATAGTATATATTTCTGTATAGTTCAGTAGCTGGGCAGACAATAGTCCATAACATCTGCAGCACTGCATTATTAATGTGAAGAGATGTAATCCCTGCTGATTCCTTGGCAATGCTCCCCTGTATTGGAGCTGCAGCATCAAGTTCTTACACAGGAGCCAAAATACTGGGGGAAAAGTAGAGAGACCTTAACAAAGCTAAACTTTGGACTTGCTCTTCACAGCCTAATAAAAACAATGCAGAAGCTTGTAAGGACACACAAAACAGTTTGGTTTTTCCTTCCTCTAAAGCAAGTAATGCCAAAATGCACAACTGTTCATGATTCTGAACCTGGGCAATGTCTGCAGACAGAACTGCTTAGGAGGCTGCTCTGGACCGCTCTTAAAAAGGTGAGATTCCCATATGAAAGGTATTTCTCACATCAGTGAGCTTTGGTTGGAATATGCCAAATCCCACCCCATTCCCAGGGGTGATCACTGAAAGCTCACAGGGAACTACAAGGTGGCTGCTTAGATTTCAACTTCATTTTCCACTGTTCAGTTACGTGTAAATAGCACAAGCCAGGTTTGACCGTCCCAGTATTTTTTGTTCTTGGTTCATCACATCCAGCTTGCATTTTATTTCTCTTTCCAAACTGTCTGTATGGATAATTTTATTTCTTTTAACTGTGGTATTAGTAACCTGCCTGGCAAAGTACAAAGCTGGAAGAGAGACTGATGGGTTTTTCAAATAACTTTTTAATCTAAGAGTTAAAATGTCAAATGACATTTGAGTTTGAGGGCAATGTGTTTATTTTTCTAATAATTTATGAGTTCGTATGATTTTCTGATGTGCCTTGGATTTGTGCCAAATGATGGAAAGCAAAAACTAGTAAAGTAACTCTTGAAAATGCTGTTTTGAGTCCTTTTGTCCAAGCATTTTTCTGTTGTGCAGATTTCCTTGCTTGGTTTTTTAGGCATTTGAAGATTTCACCTTGTATTGAGTTGTAAATTAAAGGTTCTCCTGGAATTTACTCTTCAGTTCAATATGATTTTCTTCCCTCCCACATTCATGGATTATTAGGTTGTGTGGTTTTGGATTTAAGGCACAGAGGTGTACAAAATATAACTGATAGTGAAATTCAACATTTTCACATAACCTCCTTTTCCAGCTCTACATTCACATTAAAAAAAAATAAATAAATGGATGGATGTTCAGCGCTTACAAGCCAAGACTTCAAAGGAAAGAGACAAATGAGGTCTTCTTCCCTCTTGTGACACTATAGAAGAGCCAGAGTAAGTCACTGTCCTTACCTGTAAGAATAACTTTGATATTCAAGAAAAATTCCAAATCTAGTCCAAATGAAACAAAAATAACAACTATTTAATACTTTTTCAACCACATTCACACAAGATGAAAAACACTCACTAGTGCTCACTTGAAACCATTTTATTCTGTTCCAAAAAACACTGCAGGTGGAATCATACATGATCCTGTTATGTCAGATAAGGGGTCTGTGGTAGAGTGTTCATCAGCACATTACAGTATTTATCCTACTAACTTCCATAACCATATTTTTGAATAAAGGTGTAGCACAAGTTCAGTTTTAATTTATGCATGCAGGAGTTGCAGAAAGTTTAGGAAAATGGTCTTTTTTTTTTTTTCCAGTAAGAAACACTCCAGCCATTTGATAAAAGTGGAGGTAGTTTTAAGAACATACGATACCAAGTGTCTGAACAGTGCTGTGTTACACAGTTAACTTGCTTTTTTGGAGATAGCCAGGAGCTCAGGAAATCTCCTTTCTAACACTTCTGCGAATTGGAGGCAAGACTTTAACCTCCTGAAGAGAGAGTGGCTGTTCCCAGCTTGTCACTCGGCTCCTGCTGTGTTTGGTATCTCCAACAGCAGCAAGTTAAGTGTGTGCAGGGGCTGAAAGCAGAGCTTACACGCTGAGTAAGGGGCAACAAAACGTTCATGCTCATGAAGCCGTGGGGAACTCTGCTCGGGCCTCTTAGACTACAAAAAATTTAAGTTATAAAATCCCCCTTCTCAAATTTATTTTACAAGTTCATTTGTTGGCCTTTTATAATAATAATAATAAAAAAAAAAAGTGAAGAAGCGTAAACATGTTCAGATCTTGCGTTCTGCCTGATAACAACAGCAAGTTGCCTTTCTCCAGGCGTTTGTTTGGCAGCCTTACAGTAGCATCAATAATCATCCTCTTCATCAGAATCCAGTACTCTCCTTCTGTTGAACTGAAGTGAAATAGGTAAGGTGAAACTTAGAGGGGTCACAGTGAATCCAGGCTGGCACAAGCCTTTCCCACCCTGCATCTGACTATGCCCTACCTGGGGCAGAACATCCTCCCATCCCTCCCCTCCCAGTGGGACAGGACGGAGTGACACAGCCTGTGTCACACACCAGCTGCAGATGTGCCTGCTCTGCTTTCATCCCAGCACTTTCCAGTGCAGGGCAGACAGGTGGAAATACAGAAGTTCTGCCCTGAATCAAACTGGTCCAGGATCTCTTATTTTTCTGCTGTTTTATAACAACATTACATTTAGGAAAGAGAGCTTACCTTCACTGTTGTTTTCTTTTCTGTTTGCTGACTCACTTTTTCAAGTATTTCTATCAAACCTTGTTCTGATACCTAGGAGAGTGAAAGAACACCTGTACAAACACATTCTGAGAAATGCTTAGTATCAAACAATGAATCACAATTTCCTTTCTTATGAAAGGTTTTTGATGGAATTATATAATATTTAAAAGCTCTCAATTGCCTTTTCCTTTATTTAATTTACAGCTATGATAAACATCCTTTTTCCTTTTTAGAGTCAATATATGTGAGAAAGAATTAGGAAAAGGTACTCACCTTTCCAGCTAGCTGTCCAAATCTTGCCATCTGTATAAGATAATTCTCTACTGCTTTTGCTTTGTCTGGTTTCACAAGTGCTAAATTGCTTACTGCAACAAAAACAGGCTCTGCTCATTTGGGTTTAAAACATTCTCAAACACCTTCACCAAGTAACTAAAAAGTGATAAATGTCCCTTTGAAATCGTCTCCTTCATGCCAGGGTTGTGAAATAAGTTGAAAAAAGCATTTTCACTTATGCCAGACACAAGGCAGTTATATTTTTACTCTTAAATATTTGTTCATTATTAGATTAGCCAGTTTTGACTTTCCCTACAATTCCTATTATTAATTTAAAACAAATAATTGATTAACATTACTCAGATGTCAGATGGCCCCTCCCCTCCAATCACTGATATTGCTGCAAGTTTTATCTTCTCAGCAACAACAGCATTTTTCTAGTCTGGCCTCCATACAAGCACCTGCTGGATTTGAGCAGCACAGGAGCCCACTAGGTGAGAAATTTTTAACAGAAAGTTACTTGGATACTCACACCTTGCACGAGCTGCTTGATCAAGAACTTGGGCTAAAATAGTATTTCTTATCTCTGCTTCCCTGTAAGGGAAAATGAACCTCACATTAAAAGTGGGATTTCAAATACCTAAAATAACATGCGCAGAACAGCAAACTACAGAAGGCTTTTGATTCATGGAAGGTCACTTCAAACCTTACATTTACATGATTTCTTTTACAGCTTTTCCTGTCATGGGCAGTTCTATGTACATTGAAGTTACACAGCTGGCAGTGTCTTCCAAGAAATCAAAAAAAAAACCGCTTAAAAATTATTATGAGATGCAAGACCAAAATTCAATATCTCATTGGTACCTCTGCTTTGCTTCCTGTTGCGATGGATCACCGGGAGGCTCCTAAGGAATGAGAGCGGAGTAAATACCACAGTCCAGGAACATTTCACACAGGACAGTCAGTTCAAATATTCCAGCAGCATCCACGGACTCTAAACCTGCCTGAACCCGCCTGGCCGTGGATGAGATCCTGGAAATGGGAATCTGCTGCCCCAGCAAATAAAAATGCCACGCTCTGCTTTCCTCACAACGCAGCGATGCCAACAGTGGGATGAGTGCTGCTCCTGGGTCTGTCCACAGGCTGCCTTCCCCTTAGGTCTAGGATAATGAACTTCCCCGAAGCCCAGAAAACTGACAAAAGCATTATAAACCCATTAAAGTAAGTTAAGGATAAGTGAAATTAAATTTAACGCTTTGTATTTATCAGAACAGAAGAAAACCCAATCCCAGCTGAGATCAGAGAATCACAGAACCATGGAATATTCTGAGTTGGAAGGGACCCACAAGGATCATCAAGTCTAACTCCTGGAGCCAATGAAAAGTCAATGAGGGGGATTGTGCAAGAGTTGGTCCTGCATTAAATATTAATACATGTGAAAAATAAGAGGGGACAAACTTCCAAGCCACTATTAGTGATGACTATTCAGAAGCAAGTAACAAAAAGGAAAAAAACTGAATTTTATGTGGAATCTGCACATCAGAATTTACAGGTAACACTTAAAAGTGTGGAAGCAGGATGGGGAACTGTACAGAAAGAGAACAGGGCTGCTCAGAGGTCTGGGAGAGCCTTCACAGGGACAGCAAAACTGCCACTCCATATAAATCCATACAAATATCTCCCAGGGGTGTCAGAGGATGCCAGACTCTTTCCGGTGGTGCCCAGCGACAGGACGAGGAGTAATGGACATAAACTAAACCACAAGGAGTTCCACTTTCACATGAGGAAAAACTTCTCACCTTGAGGGTGGCAGAGCACTGGAACAGCTGCCCAGGGAGGGTGTGGAGTGTCCCTCTCTGGAGACATCCCAAACCCACCTGGACGCGTTCCTGTGTCCCCTGCCCCGGGTGACCCTGCCTGGGCAGGGGGGTTGGACTGGGTGATCCCCAGGGGTCCCTCCCCACCTGAACCATGCCGTGACTCTGTGATTCAGCTCTGAATGAGAACCGAGATGGATGGAAGGTGATCGATCCCTGGCGTAGTGAGTGGTGCGGAGCAAGGTCGGGGGAGGAACCTCCCAGGGCAGGAGGGCTGATGAGGGGAGGTGTCCGCGGGGGCACCGACGGCAGCCAGGGCTCCGGGCACGGCCGGGCCGCTCCCCCTCAGCCGGCACAGGCCGCTCCCATCCCCGCTGCCCTCCAGCCCCAGGGGCGGTCGCAGCACCCGCCGAGCGGCCCGGGCGGGGGCACGGGCGGTGCCTCAGCCAGTCCCGGCTCTGACCTCCCGAATCCCTCACCCCGTGCCCAGCTCTGATCGCTCACCCCGTGCTCAGCTCTGATCTCCCCCATCGCTCACCCCGTGCCCAGCTCTGATCGCTCACCCCGTGCCCAGCTCTGATCTCCCCCATCGCTCACCCCGTGCTCAGCTCTGATCGCTCACCCCGTGCTCAGCTCTGATCGCTCACCCCGTGCTCAGCTCTGATCGCTCACCCCGTGCCCAGCTCTGATCTCCCCCATCCTCCGGGCCCGCAGCGCCTCCAGCTCCTCGTCCGCCATTGCCGAGCCCAGCCCCGCCCAGGCCCGAGCAATCCCCCGCCGAGCGCGGCGCCCGCGCCAGGCACGGCCAATCCAGCACCGATGAGGCAGGCGGGGCCGCCCGGGGCGGGGACACCGGGACGTGTCCCTCTGGATCTGGGATGTGTCCCGCTGGATCTGGGACGTGTCCCGATGGATCCGGGACGTGTCCCGCTGGATCTGGGCGGTGTCCCAGTGGATTTGGGACGTGTCCCGCTGGATCTGGGACGTGTCCCGCTGGATCTGGGATGTGTCCCGCTGGATTTGGGCGGTGTCCCGCTGGATTTGGGACGTGTCCCGCTGGATTTGGGACATGTCCACGCCCTCCCTGGGCTGCTGTTCCAGTGCTCCGCCACTCTACACGGAAAGAAGTTCTTCCTCATGCTGAGGTGAAGCTTGTTGTGTTTTCGTTCTTGGCCATCCTCGTCCTGTCCCCGGGCACCGCTGAGGGTCTGGGACCCCCCTGACACCCCCGGACATTTGTGCCCTTGGACTCGTGGCTCTGGGTCTGCCACAGGCAGCCCAGTTCCTTCTAAAATCCAGGCAGAGGGGCAGGATTTGGCCAAGCATCCCACAGGGGCAATATGGATTTGTGCTCCCCCAAGCTCCGCCGGGCTGTGACTCCCCAAAAGCACCTCACTGTGCTGTGCCCACTGCATCCCACAGTCAGCAACTGGGACTGAAAGATCCTGCCCCTCAGCCATGGCCCTGTCCCTGGAATCAAATAAAAACAAAAAACCCAAACAACCAAAACCAAACAAACCCAAAACCAAACAACCAGAACCACAAAACAAACAAAACCACAACAACAAACACCCAAGAACAAACAAAACAAACAAAAACCCCACAAAAAAAAGCCACCACCCCAACAAAAATCAAAGCCAAAACCCAACAAAACCAAAAAACCCGATCAAACAAACAAACTAAAAAAACAATAATAAACCAAACTGACAAAAACCCCAAACCAAAACAAAAGCTGACAAAGGTACCGGCCTTGATCAGACTGGTTGCAAAGTCACCCTAACAGCAACTCAAAGCAGTTATTGTTGTCACACTCCTTTAGTAGCTTCAATCATGTTAAATAAGTGACTTTGACATCTCAAATTTCACCTTTCAGTGCTGGTCACTCACACATTCTCATTAAAGGCTGCAGGTCTTTCACTCATACTTTGAGGCTTAATTTAACCAAAGCAACAACTTGAACAAGAAAACCTGTTCTACCAGGATGAATAAACCCCAGCTTCCTGATAACAGAGGTTTCTCTAAGGATAAATTACCAAGTATTTCTGGTCTGGTTTTAAAACGTAACAAAATGTGCCAACTGCCTTTTCATTTAACAGCCCCTGCAGCGAATGCAAACAGAATTGGTGGACTGGAACTAATTTTCTTTGGATCTTTCCACGTTGCATGCTCTAAATGGATCAGAGGAGCCTGTCCATCCTACCTGAACACTTTTCATCCATCCACATAGCCCGTTTAGTCCTTGGTAAATAGAAAATCTACTTCGGGAGCACGTTTTTAGTGGTTTTTTGGAGTCAGGGTTTGGTTTTAGTTCCTTTTCTCTTCCCCGCTGGCAGCAGAGGGAGCCCTCGGTCCACGGAAGAGCATTTGGTGCTCGTCGTGCCTTAAACCAGAAAACAAAAAAAGGTTTGGGTTGGTTTTGTTTTTTTTTTTTTCGTTCGTGCAGTATGTTCTCACAGATGAAGCTTTAATCTATATCGTACATCTCTGCTGCTGTAAATTCATGCTCCATTATACCACCATATGCTTGGCTTCGCTCAGAGAAAGCTGCAGTAATCCTAATACTTCATCTCACTTTATAGATATTGGTGTTGCGGGTTTGGTTGCACGTTGTTTGCTCACGCACTTAAAGGTTATGTCTTAATAAGTTGTTTTGGATGAGTTTATTAGCAGTGAGCTGGCAGCTGATGAGTTTTTGTGTTTGAGAAGGTGTCACTGTATTGTCTATTGTAGTGTGAGGTTCGGGAAGCGAAAAGGGAGAGTTTGGTTCATTAAAGGGATCTGGAGTCATGCAGCACAGTGCTTTAGGTTGTGTATGATTTTTGGCTAGTTTCTTTTTCAGCTTTGAGGTACATACCATTTCCTCTGCAAACTGGGCAGCTCAATGTGAAAGCACGAAGGGACAGACACAGGATTTTCAGTATCAGTAGAGCTGCTTTATAACATTCAGGACCTTTAAATCTGATGCAGAAATGGTGGATTCCTGAAAGTTTTAGGCACATTTGGTACGTCCACAGAATTCTGCATGTCATTCATACTGATGAAAAATGGTAAACAGAAAAGAGATGTTTTTAAAAGTCTTTCCCCCCTCCCCCATTTTTTTAAACTGATATTCTGTATTCTTTAAGAATGTCAGCTGTGAAAGGTGCTCAGTATCGGCTGGGTTGCAAGGAATAATGCACTGTATGTACATTAGTAAATCAGTGGGGTGACAGGAAAAGTACTGTAAAAGATCTGTAAAAGTCTCAGGAGTATCAAGTCAATAAGCAGGATCCTTCCCGAGCCCTTTGAGACTCCATTTCAGACACTAGAGGGCTCAAGAAACACTTCTGATTTCCTCCACGAGGTTTTAATCACTATAAATGGTGTGTCTCTTTCAGTAATGCTCACATTGACCTCATAATCATCCTTGGAATGACACCGTATTACAGCCATAACAGAAGAATGGCAATGCATGAGTAAGCTAATGAAGAAAACATCTCCTTCCTCAAGCAATTGCAAATAAAGCAAAATACCTACAGTTGTGACAACACTCTGCAAACTCCATGTTTAGTGCTTCTGATTGGAAGATACACTGGCAATTCCTGCTTGACAAAATCCTTGCTTGATGAAATCCTTGCTTAGTCATCTCCAGCCTAAATTAAAATTTTACTAAAATTTAACCACGTAAAAATTGCTATTGGCGTTTAAAAAAAATTTGGCAAACATGGCACTGCCTTCGAAATAAGCACTGCAAGATTTTTCCACCTTACAGAAATTGAAATAAGGCATTCTAAAAAAATAATAATATTTAAAGAGAAAAAGAAAACTGAATTCAGTATTTGGTATGAGAGAAATTAAGAAAAATTTACATCAGCAGTATAAACCAAATATATAATCTTCAATAATTAACAGTGAATTTTAAGTCTCTAATTAGTTATTATACAATGATATTGTGCTTATTCCAAAGCTTACTGAAGCCATAGGAAATTTCCCCTGTAATTTCAATTATTCTCCAACAAACACACCAGTGCTAACAAGGATTGTTTGCAGTGCAACACTCAGGTGCCTCAGCAGTGGGCACTAATAAATAAATACAGCCTGGAGAAGCACTGCCCAGGCTGAGTCATGGGTTTGCAAAGATTTGTATGCAGTGATATCAAAGTACAGTAGAATAGATTTGGAAATGGAATGATGGTGTGGGAGATCTCAGATTGTAAAAGACAGGAGTGAAACAAGGAAAAGATTATTCATTACAATGTTATAGATAGACTTTTTAATTACATTTTATTTCAAAGAGTAAACAGCAGGTATAATCTATGTAGTGCCATCAGCTCTGAGGAGCACATGCAGATGTTCCTTTACATATATTTATGTATATATGTATGTATAAAAAGTAGGATAGTGAAGCTGTGAAGTTGCTAATAAGTATCTTACAGATTTCAGTAGGAAAAGAATCAGAGCTCCTTCAAAGTACTAGAGTTCATGTGTAGCTTTCAGTCCATGGGAAAATCCATTACATTTGGGTGTGTATATATTTCTATATATATATATATTTATATATGTTTGTATGCATTTCCTTGTTTAAGATTGCCATCACTCATGGGTTTGCTCTGCTGCAGAAGTGTCAATAGTTACTTTAACCTGGCTGAAGCCATTAATGGGATTTTTGTTGCTATATATCTTTCACGCCTTAAGTTTTTGAAACATCCATGCTAAGTGTTTTTCCTTGTGCTTTATGAAGAATTAGAGCATGAATGCCTTTGGGGTTTTTTTGGCTAAAATCTTATACTTGGGATTGTTTGTTCTCTTTCTGGACCTTGTATCTGTGCCCATGTGAAGACCAGCTGAGCAGGTTAAGCACTTTCTGTAAGAGAAGGTCAGGACTGTCCTCCTGCCTCAGCTCTCTGCAGCTGAACGTGAACATTGCTCCCCCTGAAACACGTTCCCCAGGTTCCAAATAAATGTCTGAACCATGAATAACAGGGAGTAGACAATTTAAAAATATCTCTGTAAGTTAAAAGGGAAGATATTGCAGTTGCCAGTAGTATTGTTTTATTTAATAAAGTTAGACAGTCTTAATTTAAAAAAAAAATTATTTAAGAGTTTTAGAACTGTTGCTAAACTTAGGTGTGGAAGTTTACCCTTGTTGTCCACCAGAATTACTTTTTGCTTTAAAAAAACCCAAAACAACCTCAAATAAACCCTTCCATATTTTTTGAACTTCATAAATTTGAAGCATGGCTCTAATAAAAGATACTACTGTGTAAAAATGAAATGCACTAACCCAGCAGTTCTCTCTTGTGTCATGAGTGTCTGCTTGCTTTAGTAACAAACATGAACTATTGCTGGGTTGTTACTTGTTTTTGGAAATGACATTGGTGAAGACATGCAGTAGATTATTTTTTTTTTCATTGTTAAGAGAAATATTTCTTGCTTTGCAACTATTAAATTTTGCTATAGCCTGTGGAAAAGAATCTACTTTAAATGGTATGGAACACTGTTGGTTCTAATTATTTATTTAACTAAGAGCCCATGCAATAGAAGATGCACATCAAAAATGTTGAAACCACCCACTTTAATCTACTGTCTTTTCTCTGTATCCTCTTGTATGTTTTCTCTATGCCCTAATTGCAGCTTTAGTTTCCAAATTTCCAGTGTTAATAAGCTTGAATATTTTTAACGTGTAAGAGCTCGAAGTGTAAGTCAAAAAAATTAAAATACTTGTATCACTCAAGAGCTTTTTTAATTCTGAAAGATGAAGATAAGCTAATTACTTTAAAACTTTAAAGGTGGTTTCTGCCCTTGTAGGTAGTATATTGTTCTTTATTACCAAC